GAAGGAAGGAAGGAAGGAAGGAAGGAAGGAAGGAAGGAAGGAAGGAAGGAAGGAAGGGGTGCTTTTGGAGAGAGAAGGAGGGAGTAGGAATTGAGGGGTGAAAAAGAGCAGCATCCAGGACTCAAACCTTCTTAGAGCCAGATGGAAGCCAGAGCTCTTCACAGCCCCGGACCACCTCCTCTACCCTCATCATGCATAGTATTAACCAAATACTAATACCAGTCACAAGACCTTGCGGTTGTGCAGGTCTTGCTCACCAGTGCTTTCATATCCTTGGCCTGGCTCCAGTCCCCACACAGCCCTGAGATGGGCTTATAAACCGTTGCCCTCATTTTAAAGGTGCTGGATGACTGGATAGCCCCATGTCCAAAGATGAACTTAGATCTTTACCTCACACCATATGCAAAAATTAACTCAAAATGGATCGTTGACTTCAATATAAGAGCTAAAACTATAAGATTTTTAGAAGTAAACAGCAAAGAGAATCTCTTAAGACCTTGTGTTAGGCAAAGATTTCTTAGCTACAATACCAAAGCATAGTCCATAAAAGAAAATTTGATAAATTGGACTTTGTCAAAATTCATAACTTTGGCGCTTCAAAAGATACCTCCAAGAAAATGAAAAGACAAGCAACAGACTGGGAAAAACTATTTGTAAAACACGCGTGTGATAAAGGAAGAGCATCCGTAGCTTAAAGATGAGGAAAGGGGTCCTGAGGGATGATGCTGCCAGCAAAGATGGTCTGGGTTCCTAAGTCTCATGATCTCTCCACTGCATTTGTTCTTTTGCAGCAGCCCTGTAGCTGGGTGGGGCCTCCAGGCCTGACTGGGACCCTCACTGGAGAACCGACTCAGGTAGGAAAAGTCTGTCTAAGGCCTTCAGACTTAACCAGATGTGCCTTCCTCCCTGTTTCCCACCTGCTTCCTCAACAAGAGCTCCCCCAAGTGGCCACCAGCAGAACTGTAGCTTTCTGCCACAGCCGACCCAGAGCTGAGACACCTGCCCCATCTGCCAAAGAGACCACAGGAATGCCATTGCTGCTACTCTTACTTTCTGGCAGAAGGCTTACTACTAAAATATGCTGTGTTCGACATAAACTATTATAAGCTTACATTTGGATAACGTGTTAGCATAAATGTGTTAACCAGCGACCTGCAGTAATAACACCATGGGCAGCCTAGACAGGGGACCGGAAGTGGGGGATGGGCAGCCTAGACAGGGGACCGGAAAGTGGGGGAACTTAAAAAGATAGGCAAGAGGCTCCTTGCTCTCGTTAGATGCTAATTCAGAGGTAGGAGGGGAGTTTTGTGTTCTCCTTTTTTCTAGGACTAAACTCATTATGCTCTTTTCTCCAATTTTTGTGAGTTAGCACAAGGAATCCCAGACTCCCAGGCCACCTCCTGTCTCCTGTATTCCCATCCTTTACCTTTATTCTTTCTTCATCCTCATCACTCCATCTTCTCTAATACCTGGAACCATCCCATTCTGTCCCCTGGAACTCAATGTCCACTTTTCACTTTACAAATATCTGTATGATACTTCCTGTGTTCCAGGCATTTTTTCTCCTTGATTGACAAATCTTAATCCACATATTCCTCTTAACAGCACTGTGAAGTGGGTGCTAAATGATAGTGATAGCACAGATGAGTGAATGAGGCATGGATGAGTAGCTGGCTGCAGATCGCTCAGCAAGGAAGAGTGCCACGGAGCCCACAGTGCCCAGAAACACACCTAGATCCTTGGAGCCTCACCTTTTCACTGGGCATTGAAACCAAAGACTCCCCAGTACCCTTAGCTCCCTCTCAGGGAGTGGTTTCTGTTTCTCCCCCAACAATACTCATCTGGAGATGGGAGGGATGTCTTTTTTGCTCTTCTTTGTAACTTTCAGACTGTTCTTCCTTCTTCCCTGCTGAAGCCCCCATCTTGAGCCAGTGTGTGTTAACCGAGACATCCTGCTCCCTCTCTGTTACAGGTGTCTACTCCTCCTACCCCAGGTTGCACCCTTCCTTACTGGAAGAGTTCAGTTCCTGCCTTACTATCACGCAACCACTATTCTTGTCTTCATTATTGCTGATTTCAGTATCCCCATATCCACAGGGATGATCCCCCCAACACTCTGGCCCCTCAGTTCCGTAACACTACTCAGCCGCTCACTCCATGGTCGTACCCCAGACCTTACCTCTACCAACAACTGCAGTCCCTTCTTACTCTCAGTGTCACCCAGCTCATTTTCCAACAGCCACGTCCCATCTGTCAACTCACACCCACTAGGACTCAACAGTTCTACCCACTGGAGCTCCAGTAGCTTTCACTATTCCTCACCCTTCTCATGTGTCATTTCTCCCCTTCCCTGACTTAAATTCCAAGGCCAGTCATTAAAATGTCTCCCTTACGTATACCTTCAACCCTCTTGTTTCATTCTCATACTTGCTTGGGAAAACCTCTACCCTGGTTAAAACTATCTGACTCTTTCACACCTGTAACCACACAGATGAATACACTTGAGGGAAATGCACGATGAGTCTGACTGCTCTTGTTGGAAATTCAAGACCATGAACCTCAGTGGGCCCCTAGAGCTGCCCATCAGTCCTACTGCATCCCCTAATCCATTCACTCCTCTAGACTTCTAGTTCTACCGCTTCCTGTTCTCAGACATCCCACACATGCCCACCACCAGCATCATACACTCACCTGAGACCTTGTTTCCTCTTCAACTGAGAAAATAGAGCCTGTAAGGAGAGCACGTCCATAATCTCCACCAGCACACCTGCCTCCCCTCCTGCTGCTGTGGGTCAGCTCTCCGGCCCTCGGCTCTCAGCAAAGGCCAACTTCTCCACTTGTGCACTTGTCCCCAAGCCCTCCACATCCACATATTGCTCCAGTGGCTCTTCATCTCCTACACCACCAGATTTTTATTTTCTACCAGATCGTTCCCATCAGCATATCATGTGCTGCTATTTCTCTCTTTCTATCCACTTCCACCTCTCAATACTCTATGAAAGAGTTGTTGGTGCCCGCTGGCTCCCAGTCCTCTCCTCTCCTTCCCCCAGCAACTACTCCAGCCTGGCCACCGATCACCTCCACGCTGTTTCACCTATGGCTCATTCTCACTGTCCTCTTACTTGACCACATCAACACAACTGGTCCCTCCCTTCTGGAAACTTTTTCTTTACTTGGCTTCCTGGACAGCACTGCCTCCTGGTTCTTCCTTTTTCATTGTCTACTCCTTTCAGTCTCTTTTTGTTTCCTCCTCATCTTCCCAACTTCTATATTTTAAAGCATCCCAAGGCTCAGACCTCGAGCCTCACTCTACACTCACGCCTTTGGTGATCCAGTCCCATGCCTTGAACAGTCATCTCCATGCTCGCAACACCCATTTTATGTCTCCAGTTTCTCCTCTGAACTACAAACTCACACATCCAACCACCTCTCGACATCTCCATTCAGCATGTCTGAAACCCAGTTCCTGATCCCCCCACCACCCTGCACTTCCTGTCCAGCACTTCCTGTTTTTTTCATCCAATAACAGCACCTCCATTTTTCCAGTGGCTCAGTCCACAAGACTTAGTCATCCTGGGCTCCTCTCTTTCATACTCCCAATTCAATCTATCAGCAAATCTTGGCTCCTCCTTCAAAATATTTCCAAAATCTGATCACATCTCACCACCTCACTCCTTCCATCCTGGTCCAAGGTACCGTTATCTCTCGCCTGGCTTGCTACAAATTCCTCCTAATTGACTTCTCTGCTTACCCCCACCCCCATTTATTCTCAGTACGAGGGTTGAAGTGACCCCTTTTAAGTCTTGCATCATTTCAGGTCACTCCTTTGCTCAGGCATCGTCCCCCATGTCCCTCACTCTCCCCATCCAGCCACACCAGCCCATTAGCTCTTCCTCTGCTCCCAGCTGGCACACCCCCAACCCCAACCCACGCCTTTTGCTCTGCCTGCAGCACCCTTCCCTCCAAGTCTTTCCTCAAATGTCATCCTCTCAGTAAGGCCTTCCCCAATCACCCTCTTTGCAACCTTGATCTCACCCCAGCCCGTGCACTGTTTCTCCCCACAGGAATCCCACGAGAGGGATTTTATTTGTCTTGTTCACTGATGCACCACCAACATTAGTCTAGCACAAAGCAATTGTTCACCAAAATATTTGTTGAATGAAGCCTACTTTTCTTGAATGGAGGTGATGAATTTCTAGGATGAGATGCAGTCTCGAGCCAAAACGGATGATCTTTTAAAATCAGAGCAACATTGCATATAAGCCCCAGCAGCTGCCAGCCACCTCCAGTTTTCATTCTTATTATCCACATCTGAAGAACATGGGTGCCCGTGACTGTAAGCTCTGCATCTGAATCTCAGGCTTACTGCATTGGCTTACATCCCTGAGCTGGTTGATCTCCCTGGTTCGAGTTCTAGGTAAAACAGGGATGTTTACTGAGTCACTTCTGTGTGCCGGGCACTCTACATCCTGACCTTACTTAGTGTTAGGAGCAATTGCCTTTCCTGGAAACTAGATCAGAGAATCATAAGATGTTAGAGATGATCATCAGTGGCCCTGTCTGCACGGGCATCCCGTGAATGAGGTGGTTCTATCCTGTAAACAGAGAATTTCCTCTCTGAGATCTTTGTGAGTTTTGCTCATTTGTTCGTACGAGAAAAGCTTCACAAAGGTAGAAGTAGGAAGAGCCATTGGGGTGTACGTTTTACAACTCTTCATAAAGAGAGCAAGTACAAAATAAAGACTCTTCCAGGGAATCTGGGCTATTCTGCCATCATGGCCCTGGGTTTGAGGAAGCTGGCGTCTTACAGGACAGGGCTGTGTGCCATCTCATGGCTGACCCTCTTGCCTTGATCACTTACAAGCTGGCACTGGGCAGTGACTCTGACACGCACTCAATACACTCGTCCCAGCTTCCCAGCTGGCTTCTGCATGTTGCATAGCGTTGGGGTGGGGGGTCCTCATGTCTGATCTGGAGACACCTCTGTTCACCAGGGAGCCTCCCAGGATGGCTGTCTCACCAGGCAACCTGAATGTGGTGGCAAAGTCCCAGAACTTGTCGGCAGGCGACTGCTTCCAATCTCAGAGCACAGTCCTGCAGGGGCAGCCCTTTGGGGGTATCCCCACCGTGCTGTTCCTCAACGTCATCTTGTGGGTGGTAAGTTCTGGGCACTGCAGTGGGCAGAGAGGGCTCACCTGGGGTGGATGGTCCAACTTTCACAAATGATACAACAGGGGCCCCAGTTGTCCATGGACGCCAGCCACAGTGATGGGAACTACCTGAATGTCAGTCCTGCCTAGGGTGGCCCAGGTAGGTGGGCCTTGGGGAAGAAGAGGCTGCAGGAACAGACAGAATCCCTGATTCTCTTCCATGAACCATTGTCCAAAGGTCCTCCTGGCCAGTGCCCTTGAGCCTCGGTTCTCTCCCCTTGCTGATTTCTTCTAGGAGTGGGCTTATCCAATAGTTCTAAACATGCCACCTTCATTCAACGAACTCAGCATCCACTCTGTACCAGGATGCTACTGGATACTGGGAATCTAGACTTTAAAAAGGCATGACCCGACCCTGGCAGAGCAAGTCACCTAGGTGGGTGGGACAAGGTCTCCCCATGGGAATGCAGGGGTCAGTCGAGGGGAAGGCACCCATGAGCTCTCTTACCCCATCTCGCCTTTCCTGGCCTCTAGGTCATCATTTTGGTTTACTCCTTCCTCCGGAAAGCGGCGTGGGACTATGGACGCCTGGCTCTGCTGATACACAATGACAGGTGAAGAGAGGCTGGGGGTCAGTAGTGAGCTACCTACTCCCTTGGGGATGTGCTGCCATGGCCAGAGCATGGCTCTGACCAGGTCCAAGCTGCACAGGTGTCTCGTCATTCTCATCTGTCACCCCTGCCCCTGCTCTGGCCTTCCCTGCACAGAGGTGACTTGCAGGGCAGCCGTCTCTGGGCATGAGGCCACTCTTTTCTCAGATCTCAGACTTTCTGGATCTCATGACTCCCAACATGTGTGGGGCACCTGTCTGTACCCAGAGCTGTGTGCTCTGCAAACAAGCTGAGGCATGTCTGCTCCTGGGCAGGAAGGGGCCACACAGCCCTCGGCCCAGGGAGCGGGAGAGACAGCAAGGCAGCCACCTAAGGACTTTCTCTCCTTTTCCACCTCCCCACCACCCTTCCTGGCCGGCAGCCTGACCTCACTGATCTATGGGGAACAGAGCGAGAAGACGTCTCCCTCAGATGTTTCCCTGGAGATGGAACACAAGGACAAGGTGAGTGCCAGGCTGGGCCTGGTGGGGGCGGGTGGGGTCCTGGCTCTGGGCAGGCAGGCCTGGCAGGTGCAGGAAGGAGCAGGCTCGTCAACAGGGGCTTGGCAGTCAGCCACACCAACCACTTACAGCACCGCAAACTTGGACATATGCCCTAGCCTTGCCAAACCTATTTCCCCATCAGAAATATCGAGGTAGTAACCCTACCTACATCCTAGGGTGCCATGTAACTGTTTGCAAATTCTAAAATTTAAAAGGGATTTTTAAAAATTAATTTTTCTACTCTTCCCGAATTTCCAATTCTTCTCATAGCATCAATCCTGCCCCAAGCCCCCACTCTGAGCCAAGAACTCACACAGAAGGTTCCAGATGTGAGGCAGGGATCCCCTCACGCTCCAGCCACCCAGCTCTGCTGATGGAGCCCTCTTCTCCCCCTTTCTCTTCCTGTCGAATGCCAGTCCTCCAGCCAGTTGCTATGGAGCAGCTGCCGCGGGCCAGCCACTGGTTGGGGACTGGGCACCAGACAGTGAGCCAGGTGGACCAGTCCTGCCTCATGACACCTTCTTCCTTGTGAGAGACACCCAGACAGGTGCATACAGGGCCATGAAGGGAAAAGGGATCGGGGAGGGCCCTCCACAGGGATGGAGTGGAGCTGCAGCATTATAGACAGTGGTCAGGTGGTCTTGGCCTCTCCCCCCGCAAGGGCCTGTGTCCCTCTGTCCCCCCACAGTAAAATCCAGAAAGGGAGGTCTCGCTTGCCATCTCCACCTCTTCATCTCCCTCTCACTTATCAACCCTCGCACATGTAGCTATTACCTACCCAAACTGCCCCAAAGTCACCCACAAAATCCACCAAAATCTACAAAATCATATCTTATCTCATCTGATCTCTCAGAAACACCTGAGCCTGTGGACCAGCACTTCCAGTTGCTTCCATGCCATCCCACTCTCTGGGTTTTCCTTCTGTCCCTCTGTCTGAGCCTCCCCCACACTGGAAGTTCCCCCAGCCCATCCCAGACCTGCCCTTTCTCGCCCTCCACTCTCTCCCAGGCAATGTCCTCCACACTCCTGACTTCAACTGCCACCTCTACGTGGATCCCTCCTAAATTCCTCTCTCCAGCTAATCTTCCTCTGGGCTCCAGTCCCATTTATCCAATGGCCTTCAGAATATCTCCATGTGGATATTATAAGGGCATTTCAGACTCAATATGTCCAAAATACGCCGTGATCTCCCTCCACGTCCATCCGTCCCTGAATCCCTGGTCACAGACTCTTCCCACCATCCACCCAGGGACATGAGCCTGGCTCTTGCCCAGGCCTCGGGCGTGACCTGTCCATTACCAAGTTGTGTTGCTTTTAGCTTCCCAGTTTTGTTTCTCTCCACCTCTCCCACCATCCCCTAGTCCAGGCCTCCATTAGTCTCTTGCTTGGATGATTGTGGTAGCCTCTAACTGATCTCTTTAGGTCCACACCTGCACTCTGCTCCATCCAGAGCGATCTCTGTGAACAGGGACATACATCAGTGTAAGCTTTCCATGGCTTCCTAGTGCTCTTGGAATCAGTTGCCGCTGCCTTGACAGGGTCTCATGGTTTGGCCCCTTGCTCACCTGTCCAGTCTATCTTTCTCCTCCCAACTCTCTCACCCCCTGCCACACTGGCCAGCTTTTAGATCCTCAAAAGTGCCACCTCCTTCTCTCCCCAGGGCCTTTCACCTGCTCTTCCCTCTCCCTCTTCCCCACTGACCCCTCTCAGGCTAACACACCAATCCTTTGTTCAGATTTCAGCTCAAGTACTGTTTCCCCAGGGAGCTCTGTCCACCCCATCTGGGTCCATATCTTTTGTTATATACTCCTGGAAAATGCATTCCCGTTCTTCAGTGCCCTTAACCCAGTCTGTGATGATTCCTCATCTGCGCAGTCAGCCTAGAGTGTGCACTTCCCCTAGTGGGAGCAGGTGCTCTGCTGGTCTTACCCACTACTGTCCCAGCACCCAGCCCAGCCTGTTGTGTGATTAGTATCTGATACATATGTGTGGGATGCAATGAGTAAGTAGAGCCTTATGCCTTCCATTATCATCCCTCCAAGAGACCTGGTCCCTTTTCTTGTCAAGATCTGCTGCAGAACAGGTCAGGAGCCTCAGGCAGGTTCATGTCTTGGAGATTTCCTCCACAGAATAAGGACAGTAACACCTACCCAGCAAGGCAGTTCTCAAGTTTATCTTTAGAAACATCACTTTGACTTTGTGGCAGGGTGGAGGTGGGGGGTTCTGTACAATGACAAAAAGATCATGTAATTTTAAAAATATCCAAGGGATAAATCATCATGGCAACAGTGGGACAGTCAAACAGAAGAGGGTAGAAATTAGACATGGAGGGAGAGTGTGGCCAGGTGGGCCCCTCAGTGCCCTGGACAGGATGGTGAGGCCTCAGCCAGGCTGAGTGGTGTTGGGGAAGCAAACGGGTCTCCCCACAGGGCCTGGAGCAAGTCAGGGCAGGTGTGGTGGGAGAGGGGAGGATGGGGCCACTGAGGGCGGTGCAGTGAACTGACCACTGCCACTCGGTCTTGTCGGCTAAGCTGGCTCCTAGGAGCTTGTGGCCATTTCCTTGGGGTGGGGAGAAGAGAGAAAGTGCGTCTGCTTCTCAGGCCCACTGTTCAGCTGCTAAGTTTCCTGAGTGTTTTATGCCTTTCAGAGCTATGATACAGGCGCAGGGGAGTGTGTGTGTGTGTGTGTGTGTGTGGAGAGAGAGAGAGAAATGAGTCCACACATGCTCACTCACACGTCTGTGTATGTCCATGTGGTTTTCATGGGTACATAGGCCACACTTGTACTCACAACCTCTGCCCTTTCACTGGTGGTCCTCTGCTCTGCATAACCACTAGGGCTGGTCATCAAACCTGCTTGCTCCCCTAGTAAATCACGCCCTTGGCCCAGAGGTGGGCAGCAGAGAAAGATTCTCCATTTTGGGGAGGGGTGGCCAGACTCTCAGCCCCACCCTTGTCCAGCAGCTCACCCCTCCCTGGGAACTTCCTGGTCCCTGCTGTCACCGTCTTGCTATTTCCCTTCATTGCTCTGCCCTATCCCTGGGCATCTATCCTGATTTTAGTTCTCTAGGGCGTAGCTGGGCGAATGTATCCCCCCAGAGCTGGACACTTCCTGACAGGATTCCCACTGTCAATCCACCCAACACAGGCAGGGAGGCTCAGAAGGTGGGCCTTATACCATAGGGAGCTAGGGACTTCTTTCTGTTCAGTGTTTACCTGCCCCTCATGGCTTCCTTTTGACAAATACCCCTTCCTCATTTCATGTGGTTCCAGAGAACTGACAACTAGGTGGCCTTGCCAGGTTCACTGATGTGCTTGTGACCCAAATAGGGCCAATCAAGAGCTGCAAACTTTTCCAAGACTTTGCTAAACCCTCTGGGATTCCAGAAAGAAGCATGCACCAGGGTAACTTAACCAGCTGCCACATCTGGCAGCTTTTAGGGCCGTGGCCCCTGCCCACCTTATGCACATGGTTCCCAAGCTGACTCCCTCTCTTGGCCCTCCCAGCCCCTGGCCAAGGCCATCTTTTCCCATGACCTCGAAACTCAAGACAGCAAGACCCTGAAAGACAGGACCCTCAGATGCAGGAGAAGAAATCCAGCTCAAACAAGCTTTATAGCAAAAGGGTAATATGTGGTTCGAGTGTGGAGAAATCCAAGAGAAGCAGCTGCTTCAGGTACAGCTGGATCTAGAAGTCCCACATTGCTACCAGGACCCCTCTCTGGTCCTCTCTCTCCTGAGCGGGCTTTTTTTTTCAGACAAGCTCCTGCATAAGGCATCAGACTTACCAAGCCACTCCAGGCTGCGTAGTGTTGACCAGGGTGCAAGAGCTCTCCAACACCTGTTTCAACCCCTTAAGAGAATTTTGATTGGCCCTACCTGGGTCATGCTCCTGTTGGTCCACTGACCACTGGTGGCAGACAACTACTTGGACGGCCCACTGGGCCACAAGCCTGAAGGAGGGGCATTTCCCAGAAGGAAGGAGGAACAGATGGAAAGCAACTGACATCCACCCCAGAGTCCCTTCTCTCCCTCCAGGCCAAGGCCCACACTCTAAGCCCCCATTTCCTGTAACGAATGCTTGATTTCTGAAAAGACATCTCGCTTAGCACCAATTCCAGTCCAGCCCTCTTCCAAGACCCAGGCTCTTTCTCTCGTCTCTTGTGGGGAGGACAGGGCACTGGATTTTCTCACCCTTTCTCTCCTTTCCCCACAGGGCTTCTATTCCTGGTTCTTCAACACCATCACCATGAAGTAAGTGCCTGAGCTCATGACAGCCGTAAGTGGGGCCTTATTTAGGGAAGGGTGGGGGTGGGGTCTCCTGCTCTACGTGACTGGGCCCTGGGCCTGAGTTCTGTGCCCCACCTGCCATCCCCTACTCCCCGCTGCCCACCGCAGCCCAGCCCAGGCAAAGGACACTATCCAGGATTCCAGCTGGTAAAATGGGAACTGGACACTGCATGGCCTGCTTTCCCTCTGCCACAGTTCTCAGGAAAGGACTGCTTTCACGTGCTTGTAAAAATGCTTTTATGAACTCCACACCAGGAAAAAGAAATCCTTCCCATGTGCTGTCTGCTTTATTTCTGTGAACGTGGTCCCTTAGATTTGCCAAGATGGAAAAAGCAAAAACCACTGGGCAGAAGGGCAGGCTTCCTCTCTCAGCCTCAGTGCCCTTTACCCAGCGCCTTCTGGACGTCTTTAGTGTCAGACCCCACTTGGCAAGGAGACAGACTCCACGTCACCTGTTGTCTCCTGATTCCCTTGTACCAACCAGATGCCTCTGCAGAGCACTTATCGAGTTCCATGCCTCCACTGCATGTGTGTACCCATGTGCACACGTGCGTACACGCCTACACACGTGCCCACAGCTCTGCCTTCACCTTGGAGCCCTGTACGTTTGCGGGCTCTCCCTAAATATCCCATCCCGCCTGCTCTGCCCATCCTTCAAACTGCCTCCAGGGTCTATACCTTCTGGTGATGCCTGCCTTAGGGGCGGCCTCACTGCCCCGCAGAGGCTGCCTGCACCCAGGACTTGACAGGACCTGCTCACTTGCTTCTTTGCAAAAGCGCATAGGGCTTCATCCTTCATATGCCTCCACACCCATCATTCAAGGGCTTCACTGGGAGCATTCATACATTGTCCCAAGACCCCATCCCACCTTCGTGAGCCACACCAAGACACCTCTCTTTCCCCAGACCTGCTGAAGGGCCTGGGACCCTGTGGGGCACAGAGCACCACGACTGGACTTTGGGAATCCAGAGCAGGGCTTGGGACTGGCAGCCTCTGGTGCTTGAGCCCCAACCCACTGATGGAGGATTCCCCATGGCCTTGGCCTCCAGTCTTCCTTCATCATTCACCAGAGTCCCCGGAAGTGATACAGCTAGTTTGTGTGTGGTTTGGGAATCAGCCACACATGGGGGGAACAGAGGAGAGACTTTTATTTCTTGGCATCTTCTTTGGTTTTGCTTTGCTTTGTTAATGCTTAAAACATGCACAAGCTTGCATAAATACATTTTCATTAAGAGAACCATAAAAGTTCATCTCCAGTCTCTCACACCCCTCTTCATCACCCCCCTCCCCCGGAAGCAATTCTTGTCATCGGTTTCAAGGGAATTTTGTTTTTTCCTTTTGACAAGCATTTGCTATTTTTGCATTTTAAAAATAACCAATAACATGTATGAATATTTGGAGCTTGTGACCCTGGGAGGCTGCACATGCTAACTGTAGGTTCCAGAGTTTAGCAAATTCGTCAGTGATGGGCAGGGGTGTGATGGCAAATTAGCCAGCCCTTTGCATGAGAAAGAGGGCAGAAAAGCTGGGATGAGTGGGCCTGCCTGAGCTGGGCACATCCTCAGATCTGGTAGAAAACTGCCCTTAGGATAGTTTGAGGCTGACTTTCTGGATCTTCTCCACTGTCTGCTGACACATCAATGGGTATAGACAGGGCAGGAAAGAAAGTGTTTATGTTGCAGGGGACTAGGGTACATGCAAAACATAACAAAACTTCATGTGGTAGGTGTCTCTGTGGTGTGTGTGCCTGTGAGTACAAAATGAAAGGTCCAGTTCTCTGCATTGGTGCAAATCTGTGTGCAGCTGTTCATGTGTGCATACCTGGCCCTGCAGGTCAGTAGGAGGTCAGTGTGCACAGCTGTGTGTCTGTGTGAGAGTCCTCGTCCCCCCACCGGTACCCCACCCAAAGGACCCTCCACTGGGGACGCATCATCTGAGAAGGGTGTTGACTGTGCATTGTGCACCCTTCGAAAACAGTGTCTAGGAGATAGCCTAATACATTTACTGAGTGGGAGGGTGGAAGCCAGAATCCCAGTGCACAAAGCCCACACAGTCTAGTTGGAAAAGCAAAGGTTACCAAGACACACTACACATAATTCATAATAGAGAGAGCATAACCACTGTGCAAAGGGCCTTTGGGAGAACGAGAAATTAATTCCAATTAAGGGGTTCAGAAGAAGTGTAGTTTCAGACGAGGCCTTGAAGAATGGGAAGAATTTCGATCATTGTGATGCAGGGGGTCCAGCAGAAATTAAAGACTGCGTGAGCCAATACTGGGGGCAGAGATGGGCAGGGAGTATCCAGAAATGGTAAATCTGGTACGGCTAGAAGCAAGAGTACCTAGCGAAAGAGGGGATAAAAGATTGGGCTGGAAGGATCAGCAGGGATCTTGACTACCATACTGAGAATCTTGGCTTTTGATCTAGAGGCAGCAGAGAGCCAATTACTGCTTTTGAGCAGGAAGCTTTGGATGATGTCTGCTTGTAGGCAGGAGTATGGAGCGGGGGTGGATGGCAGTTGGAAGAGTCCAAGGGCAATGTGAGCAGCTAGAAGACTCTTCCAGTGTCCAGGTGAGAGGTGGTGGTGACCAGGGAAACAGTGGGGAGGAGACACGGGGAGGGAGATTATTGGTCACAGTCAGTGAGTCCTGGTTTCCACCTGGCTTCCACCTCGTTAGGAAAGAGGAAGAGAACGAGGTCTGGTTTCTGGGGAGGGTAGTAATACCACTAATTGGGAGCTGAGATGTGTCGAGTTGCAAAATTGATGAGATGGGGCCAGGGCAAACATGTGAGTTGACCAGCAAGCTACTGAAAAACAGGATTAAACGTAGGGGAATGGTCAGAGGTGGAGATTTAGACTTGGGATATGGGTACACAGAGGTCGTAGTTAGTCATGGAAGCAGATATGTCACCCAGAAGAGGGCAAAATCAAAAAAGGCCCAAGGGAGAGAGTGGTTGGGGCAGGTGGAAGAGGCAACAACCTGTAGGGCACTGGCTCACTGAAGCCAGGCAGGCACAAGTTTCCGGACAGGATGCAGCCAGCAGCCTCCAACCCACTGAGGTTGAGTAGAATGAGAGCTGAGGAGATGTCATCAACTTTGGGGATTTGGGTCTCCATTGGGTGGGCAGTTCCAGGATAAGGAGATGTCCAAGAAGTAGAGGCAGAGAAAGGAAGCCACCTTTTTCAGGAAGTGAGTGGGAGCCACGAAGTAAAGATACTGGATGGAGCTTGAGGGAAAACCAGTGAAGGAACAGATGCTTGAGGAGTCTCTTGGGCTTGTTTCAAGAGTAACAAATGAGCATTTGAACCTGGCTGTAGTTTAAAGGGAAGTGTGGGTGGCTGTAGAGAGAGGTGGATGTTAATTTAAAGATAAGAGAGAGGGACGACAAATACAGCAAGTCTCCAGAAAGAGGTAGAGGAGAAGAAGAGATTAGAGCGGAGATGAGAATTAACTGTGAGGAGGAGATAGGGTGATGCCTGGAACGTCACGGGGGCAGCACTTTAGAGTGGTGCAAAAAGGACAGAATTGAGTAGAGGAATATAGACAGACTCAAAAACTCAGGCTTGCCTTGGAACTGTAAGACCGGCTGCTGAACATAACCTGGGCTTCAGGAGCAGCTGGAACAAGGGGTGCAGTGGGGGGAGCAGGAATTACCAGCCCAGAAAGGAAATTCTTGTGTTCTCTGTCCCATGTAGCCCTCTGCTTGCTCCACCAGACCAAAGGCTCTCACCTGGGCTCAGGCACACCATTTCTGTCAAGTGAGCAGATCTGGGCACCCTAAGCCTGCAGCAGAACACTCCCCTATTCTTCCTTCTCACCAGTTCTCATCATCCCATTCTTAGGATTTAATTCTCAAGTCCAGAGCAGGAAGTATTTTAACTGCTTGAAGCTAAAAAAATAAAATAAAATAAAAATAATAAAGATAAAAATCAAGAGCTCTAAATAATTCCCTAAATGGTGATAGTGAAAGCCTTAAAGATAGGGTCTTTATAGTACTGTTGAAAAATAAATCTGAATCCTGGACTGGATGCTAGAAGTTGCATATAACCTTCACATCTGATCAGAGCCCAAGGGTGAGTAAACTATGGCATGTCCACCAATGGAGGGGGGTGCACAGCTTGGTGCTGGGTGTGAACCAATTATCCACAAACAGAGGCCACTATTATTATTATTATTATCAATGGTGGTAAAATAATCACCATTATTATTGCATAGCTGTGAAAACATTTAGACAAAAAGGTAAAACGATCCCAAGAGTTTTAAGATTAAATGCCAAGCAAAAGAGCAATACATCAACTGCTGTTTATATTACAGTCACTAAATTAAACCAGCACTACAGTAAGAAACTAAAGGAAATTGACCAAAATAGCCATTGTCTTAGGTTTGATGAGACTGTAGGTGAATGATTTTCTTCTTTTGTATTTTCCAGAGTTTCTATAATAAGCATATGTTGCTTTTAATTTTTTTAATTGAAGTATAACACACATACAGAAAAGTGCACAAAAAATAATTGTCACAATAGTACATAATCACAAAGCAAAGCCTAGACAACCACCATCCTGATAAAAAATTAGAACATTGCCAAGGCCCCAGAAGCCCTCCTCCTGCTCCGTCCCAGTCCCCTATTACCTGCCCCCTCTCCAAAGGTAACCAGTATCCTGACTTAAAACTCTACAGTTCAATAATGCCTATTTTTGAACTTTGTATGTAAAATCATATGGTATGTGTTGTCTGTGCCTAGCATCTCTCACCCAGCGTTGTGTTTGTGAGGTTCACTTATGGTCATCCATTTTTATCCCTCTCTATAGTATTTCATTGCATATATAATGTGATCTATATCTCACTATATACATACTTTTTTTTTACTACATATGTATCTCAATTCTTGTGTCCATTTCACCTTTGATAGACATTTAGGTTGTTTCCAGTTTGGGCAGTTACAAATAATGCATCTATACATGTCTCTCCATGCTCATGTGCACGTATTTCTGCTGAGTATAAACCTAGGAGTGGAAGTGCTAGGCCATAGGGTGTGCTTACATTCAATTTGTAGAGATAATGCCAACTGTTATCCAAAGTGGCTGTGCCAGAGTGTGTACCCATGAGTGTGTGAGAGCTCCCCGCATCCCACGCCCTCACTAACACTTTATCACCAACATGTTCCTCACTGACTTTCTAGCTTTGGCCAGTCTGGCAGTGTGGAGTGATATCTCATTGTGGTTTTAAGTATTCCTTTTTAATTTAAGGAACAACTTTTCGAAAAATAGAATGAACCTTGATATCACTAATGGTTTGACCAGTGTCTGCACCATAGTAAACATCAAAATGTTTGAAGAAGCAATAAAAGATGAAATAAATGTATGATTTAAGAGTGCTCCTGAATTTCCAAAGGCATATCTATAGCAGAGCTTCTATCTTTGATATGCCCGTGAAATTCAGTGGAACACATTTTAGGCATAACAGAAGTTTTGAGAAAGGTGACATTTCTAAAAATAAAACTCAAGGCAGTGTGGTAATCTCCTCTCCCTTTCTTCTTATCTCCCTCCAATTTGAGTTGTGGCCATACTGGCTCCTGAGCAATGTCCTTGTACCTGTGTCTCTTCCAGGAATGAAGATCTGATTAGCAAGTGTGGAGACGATGCCCGTATCTACATCATGTTCCAGTATCATCTCATCATCTTTGTGCTCATCCTCTGCATCCCCTCCTTGGGCATCATTTTGCCCATCAACTACACTGGAGACGTTCTGGGTAGGCAGAGCTCAGCGGGCCCTTTGCCTGGCCCACTAGACCTAAGACACAGCCTGGTAGATGAGACGGAGCTCAGATCTTGGGCATCTAGAAATCTAAATTTGAATTCCACTTCTCAAAATTAGTTATGTGACCTTAGGCAACCTGTGCTTCAGTTCTCTCACGTGGAGACCAGAGATGATATCTTCTTTGATACAAATTTGGCCCAGGGCCTGGCACATAGAAGGCACATAGTAGTAATTCAGTCTGAAACTGAATGTTTATTTGTGACCCAACACTGCACCTAGCCAGGTGTTCATGGAAGCCTTTTTTATGACATGTGACCCACTGCAAGGATCCCTGGATCTGACCTCTCTGTACCCCTCTGATGGACGTAGCACCTAAGTGCAGAATTGCTCGTAGAGAGTCTATCCACACTTCCTATAATGGGGTAAATTTTGACAAAATAATATGGTGGGTAAGGACTTGGCCTTCAAAGACAGAAAAGTATTGGTTCCCCAACTTTTATCCACATCTGCTTCCCAGAAAATTATTTACTTATTATTATCTTACACAGTGTCTTCAGGCCTCGGTTTCCTCACCCGTCATAGGGATTGGGAGATAATGCATGTCAAGGGCTTGGCACAGTGCCAAGTGGGTTCTCAGTGAATAACAGCCAGTATTTCATTAGGAGCTATGAAAACAGAGCTGTATTAAAGCCATACAACTAGGTGGCGTAGGATAGCACCTTAAATGGCAGCCAGTCGTACCCTGACTGCTCAGGTTTCTACCTGTTTCTCCTTGGCCAGAGGTACACCTCAGTTAACTCAAGGTAGCACCCAGTGCTCGTGCTACCAAACACCACTACCAGGGTAAATAACTTCTGAGTCTTGTCTTCCCAGGTTCTCATCCTATGAGCTGGTGTCTTGGCAATGATAGTATGATGCAGGCTCTATGAACACATTTCATAGAACTTGGAGCTGTCTCACCAACAAATATACCTAGCCAGAAGGATTTACTCTATCAGAATGAGGCATCAACACATTTTTGGGAGTTCTGGGTTCTTATGACTGTTGCCAGTGGTAACAGCATTGCTGATTTCATCATTCCACCCCTGGTGTGGCTGCCAGTTTCCTTCAACAAGCATTTACCAATGGCGGTTATGTGCCAGTTGTGCGCTGAGGATGCCACACCAAGACTCGATCTCACTTCACAGCCGAGGACCCCCAGTCAGCAGTCCCAGGGAAGAGAGGAGGCCTTTGCTGGGGTTTTGGGGAAGTTGGGGACCATCTCTGGGGAACTAGAACAGGACGTAGGCAAGCATCTCTAGACCTCAGGCATTCACTCAGGAACCCAGAAGTCTGGCATCCAACCAGTCAAGGAGCCAGGTTTGAGGTCAGCAACTTTCTTCTCTTTCAGACCAGAACAGTCACTTTGGTCGGACCACCATTGTCAATGTCTCCACAGAGTAGGTACCTGATCCTCTTACCTCCCATTCTACTGGCTGGGTGGGGGATGGGAGGAGGGGTGTTGGTGGGAAAAGCGGGTCCAATATGTGGGTCCAAAATAGGGGCACCACTTTGCTGATAAGAAAGGCCTGGTTTCCTTGGGAACTCAGGTCCCAAGTGGGATGCCAGAAGTTGCATTCTCTTGGTGAGGCAGCATTCTTGGTGCCTCAGTGTCCCCCATCTCTGTAATGGGTGGAACTACCTAAACCAGTCACTCCTGGAGACTTACTTGGAAAGGTGGTCCTGTTTGCTTAGCATGTCCACCTCCCAACAAGCAGAAGCACTGTAGCAAGTAGAGGTTTAAGGTATTGCTTCCCTGCCCGCAAAATACTTCAGATCAACCTTCACGTAATTGAGCAAAACACAGACCTATTCCCACAGCAGCGAGCCTGAGGAACCACAGGAGCTGGGTTCATGTCCCGGCTCTGCCTTTAGTCGGCCCTGGGTCTGGGGCAACACACTCTCCCTCTCTGAGCTTTGTCCCTAGTCCATGGTCGGGGAGGAGATGTTGGACTTGATTGCTAAGCCCCCTCCAGCCCTCGTGGTCTGGGAACCCATGGATTTTAACATCAGCCAACCCAATTCGTGGCCAGATCAACCTGCACTGAGCCAGATGTGGCCCTGCTGGCCTGCTCTGAGAAAACAGCCCCACTAGGTCTCCTGGCCAGGCTTGGCTGACTGCCTGACAAAGCTGAAGTGGCACTTCCAGCAGGTGTGAGTCGGGGTTTGCACACTCCTGCCCCACCTCCCCTTGCCCCACCCCTGATCCTCTGCCCCTGCATCCCGGCAAACTCCAAATCCATCAAACCGAGAAATCAGCAGAATGGGGTCAGACATCCTCTCAGCTCCCTTTTCAACGCACTCCTCCCCGGGTGCCGCCAACACCAGAGCAGAGCTCCAGCTTCTCCCAGGCCGGCCACTGGGATAAAGCATCTACAACTTCCCAACAAGGAGTGAATTTTAGTAGGGGAGCAAAGAGCCTTCAACATTCATAAAGACATACCGGCCAAGAGCCAGACTCTCCCTTAGGGACCATATCATCTTGCTCCCTCTGAGGAAACTGAGAAGAGAGGCATCTAGCGAGATGGAGAGTGTCAAGTGAAATGTCAGGCGCTGGGATGGTGGGGAGGAGATATTTTGAAGCAAGGCAGCCTTTCTCTCCTCAAGCTGCACCAAATAAGGTGGGCCCTATTTTTGAGCAGTCAACCTGGCCTGATGCCTTGGGACAACATCATGTGAGCAAAGTCCACGTGCCAGGACTCTTCCTACCCCTGGGGAAGGGGCCAAATCTGCTCGGCCCTCCTTCCTCCAGACCTGCATCTGTCCCTCGCCGCAGAAGTTGGGCGGCCCCTCCACTTGGCGTCCTGGTCAGCTGGGGGCCCTGGGCTGCAGCCATTGGTAGCACGACATAGCAGTCCTACCTTGAGCGTAAGTGCTTCTGCAGCTCTGGGCTTACCTCCTGGCACTGCTGCAGCTGGGAGTGACCCCAGGCAGTCCCCCTGGCCCTCATTTCCCTCCAAGTAAAATGGAGATGCTCACAGTACCACTCTCATGTGGTCTAAGAGTCCAGTGAGAAAACGTACATAAAGCATCCTGCCCCACCCTGGGTCTGGCGCATGGTAAGCACTCAGTAAACGTTAGCCTTTATTAGCTGGGGTGAACAGCGCCTTCTCCATTCCCTTCCAAGGTGCCTGAGTGGAGGCACCGGAGGGCAGCCCTGGGAAGACTGGTGTGGGAGAGAATGATCTGAGGGAGACTGCGTGGGGTGGAAGGGGGAATCTCATGCCTCATATGACTTGCTCTTGGCAGGAGCAAGTTCCTGTGGCTGCACAGCTGCTTTGCTTTCCTCTACTTCGTCACCAACTTCTTCTTCATGGCTCATCACTGCTTAGGGTTCGTGCCCAAGAAAAGCTACAAGGTGAGTAAGTGAAAAGAGCTACCAGAACAAGTCCCTCCCAGCTAGGGCCCCTCCCCAGCTGGGCCATCCCACTCCCAGCCTTCAGAGGCATCCCAGCTTGGCATGTTCTGCACACCTGTCGGGGGTGGTCTCACCTGAGCACGGTAAGTCTTTGCTTATCCCTGAGAATCATCCACTGGCACATCTGTCCGGGTTGCTAAACCACCGAAACACTTCCAAACCAGTCAGTAAGTAGCTGCTCCCAAGTGCCTCCTCCCCCTGCACCCCTGCTGCCCTGGACCATCTCCAAGGACCCCTGGACCTCCCCACCATCCTAAAACTAAAATCTTAACTAACCCTGGGCCAGCAGGGGGCCTCCATCCTCAGTGGCCAGTGCACCCTGCTGAACCTCAAGACATTTTGACCACTTTGTCCATTCCTGCTGCACCCAAGCTCCTTGCCCTTCCACAATCTCCCTGAGGGCAGAGACCACATGTCTTAGCCCCGCATGCATCCCCACTGCCTTGGTTTGGGTCACCCCCATCCCACCTCTCAAGCAGACCCTGAGGCAAGAATTTGAGTAGTAGTTGCTTATTTTGGAGATGATCCCAGGAAAGACCACTAGGCAGGTGAGATCTTCTGGGAGGGAAGAACGCAGGTAAAATGGAGCAGTGAGAAGCAGTCTCTTCTGAGCAACCTTGCTTACATGGGGGAGCTCTGGGGCTCAGAGCAGAACATGCGCCCTAAAGTTTTCCTGCCCAGGGGGCAGCTGCCAGGGGTATTTTCTCACCAACTCCCTGCCCATCGCTGGTTAAGGAGGGCTGCACCGGGGGCTTTAACTCCCCACGCCTCTCTCTGCACGTGGGCTAAGCATGCTCCCAGGGCCAGAAAAAGCGCACAGGCAGTTGGGTATTTGAAGATACAAGCACCCTACTTGGCGTAGGCGGGCACCACAAGGGGAGGGGCCTGCAGGTTGTCCGGGCTCCAGCTGGAAAGAAACTGGGAGGACCAAGGTCTCTGCTCCCATCCTCAGCTTTTCAAAGGTTCAGTGATGGGATCAACTCCTTCTAGTCATCCATCCCAAACGACTGGTTCACCTTACCCCACCCCATTATGCAAATGCACATACCTCTGAGAGGTTCCCCTCGAATGTTTCAGCTTGCCAGGCATGGAGGCTTGGCCACCCCTGATCAGTCTGAACTTGGCTACTTCCGCTTTCCTTCTTGTCACCAGAAGCTTCTGCCCAGACTTCCTTCTCTTGAAACACAGTTTATCAGACTGTCACCTCGAGGTGTTGGCTCAGGAAGACATTTCCCACTCACAGAATAAAATGTGAAGTTTTAGCTCCCAGAGTCTAGTTCATCTCCCAGCCCCTCACAGTTTGATGTTAGGTATGGCTCCGGGGAGGTGGGACTTGACATGGGACACAGGAGTTGGAGGGAGACCAGAAATCAGTAAGAAAGTAAGAGCAGCCCTTGCCAGGCGTGGAGCTCTGGCCCGCCCCCGGCACTGTCCGCAGCCCCTGGCTCTTCCTCCCTTGGCCACAGCCATCCATGGCAAGGGGCCTATGGGGGGCACAGAGAATAGCAGAGGTGTAGCTTGCCTGCCTGCAGCTTCCCATGGTCTGCTGACCTCAGGGGCACAGGCTGGGGAAGCTGGCACCTGGATTACGTAGCAAGGAGGCAGTCTGATGTGCATAGAAGGCTACTGCAGATGGTTCTGGGCCAGCCAGAGACCCAGACCCCAGGAGTCCTGTGTGGGCACAGTCTTCTTTCTCCATTTACCTTCCCCACCTAGGTCACAAGGACACTAATGATCACCTATGTCCCCACGGACATCCAAGACCCAGAAATCATCATTAAGCATTTTCAGTAAGTGGGTTGGGTGGGCTGAGGCAGGGATTGCCTCCTCCTCGTAATCCTGCCTGTGTCCTCATGTGGGTAGTGAGTTGGCACAGGATGGTGGGGTGGGGAGAGAGACACCCCAGGTTGTGGCTCACCCCGGATGCAGCGCAGCATCAGCCTTTCAGAATGGGCGAGGCCCTGGGGCCAGAGCAGGGTTCCTGAAGTCAGGGCTTTCCCACCTGGCATGGGTGTGAAGGGAGGATACTGGTTTTCCTTTCCCTTGCAGTGCCAACTGTGGAGCCCAGGGAGCTCCCAGGCCACAGTTATCTAGAGCAGATCACCTTGAGGCATCTTTTGTGACCCAGGTTCCTAGCCCCAGGACCTAATTATCTCCCCATGAGCAGTAATTTCCAGCTGTGCTCCCTGACCCTGTTCTGTGTCATCTGGGAAGGATGTGGCAGATCTCAGATTACCAGGGATCAACCCTGACATCTGACCTCAGGAGCAAGGGATGGATTCTACCATCCAAGAACCAGGAACCACAGGCAGCTGAGCCTCCCAGCCCCGAGGGCTGTAGCGGTGGGGGTCAAGGGGAGTCCCCAGCCCCACAGGCTGGCTCAACATCCATGTTTGTGGCTTCAGTGAGGCCTATCCAGGGTGTGTAGTGACCAGAGTCCACTTCTGCTATGACGTCAGGACCCTGATTGACTTGGATGATCAGAGGTGAGGCTACAGTGGGATCTGTGTGGACCTGAGGTTGGGGGAGGAGGGGAGGTTGTGGCTCTGCTGGCCCTTGACCACAAGATCTTCCCCTGCTGCCCATTGGCTGACAGGCGCCATGCGATGCGGGGCCGGCTCTATTACACTGCCAAGGCCAAGAAGAAGGGGAAGGTGATGATCAAGGTCCACCCTTGCTCTCGTCTGTGCTTCTGCAAGTGCTGGGCTTGCTTCAAAGAGGTAAGTGGCCGGGGCTTTGGGGGACACAGCAGAAGGGCTGGGGCACTGGGTGTCCAGGCTCTGTCCAGGGATCTGGGCAGTGCCCCTCACCTGCATCCTTGGGCCCTAGGCCCCATTCAGCTCTGCTTGTGCTGTGGCACCTAACTCCTCCTTTCCTGTCCACCATGTCCTGCCTCCCTGTTAAGAAGGCAGGGGAGCTGTCAAAGCCTTTCTTGGGGCCACCTGCAGAGTGGTCCTGGGAGGCTTGCTCTTGCCTCCTTCTGGTCTTGAATGGGAGGACCAGGGAGAACACAGCAGGCTGCTGTAGGCTGCCAGGCTTCAGGCTTTCAAAGAGCTGGGGCGGGACTATCTGAAGGCAGTGGGCTCAATCTTATCACCCAATCACTGTAGCTAGAGGAAGGCCTCAGGGCAGGACTGAACTCTAGCCAGTCCAGAAAAAGAATAACCCCTGTTCCTGAAAATGCTGCAGACACATTCTATCACTCCTCTTGAGTCCACCCCAAGTCCAAAAGCATCCCCTGACCCAGCTCTGCCTCACTTTGCCCAGCTCTAAGAGCAGGGAGCTAATTTCAGAGTCATAGCCTCTTCCTGTTTTAGAGCTGGGATCTTGGAGCCCAGTTGGGGTCCTGAGCCTTTTGAGAGGCTTCAACGGGAGCCAGGGTTGGAACCAAGGCCTCGGGCCTGGCGCCTGAGTGGAGAGAGGCCTCACGTCCAGGCGAGCTTCCTGGGACTCTGCCGCTCCAGCTCTGAGGGCCACATCTCACCCCAGGTAGATGCAGAGCAATATTACAGTGAGCTGGAGGAGCAGCTGACTGATGAGTTCAACGCTGAGCTCAACCGTGTTCGGCTGAAGCGTCTGGACCTGATCTTTGTCACCTTCCAGGACTCCAGGATGACGAATCAGTGAGTGCCGGGGCCACCTGCCTTCTGTGCCCAGCCCAGCCCCAAGAGTGGGCCTCTGCTTCTCTGAAACCACTCTTCTTTCACTCCCATTCCAGCCAAGGGTTGGAGGAAAGAAAGCCTCCCTCTGGTTTGCCATATTCTGTCTTCCCCTTGACCCCTCCATGCTCCTCACGAGCATGGCAGCTGCCATCTTGCTTCCCAGAGCATGGCCCCATCTGTCTTCCCCCAGCTGCCGGGCTCAACTTGTCTCCAGAGATGCCCAGGCCCGGGCTTCTCACTCCCATATGTCCTTCCTTCAGCACAGAAATGGTCAGAGTAGCCACTGACTTCTTGGTTCCTCTTCTAGGCCTTAACAAGAATGATACCTATTGTCTCCGTCACTATACATCACTCCTCTCCTCACCCCGAGTGAGAGTCAGGGTAGAGAAGCCTTGCTTGTCATTTCTATTCTCCTGCTGCAAGCCTCCCCTAATTCATAGCCTTACAGCCTCCTCTCCCCTCTGCCTAGTCTCTGGCAGCCTCACCTTGACAGGGAGTGGATTAGGTCCACTCTAGAATGTTCTGGAAGGAATTTTAGGACTGGGTCAAATAGATAGAAGCCCCAGAATCAGTCTTTTGAGGATTATGGGGCCATCCTCTCCCTGAGGGAGCCCAATCATTCATAACACCTTTTCCTTACCCACCCAACCCCATAAAGGAACCGTGGAACAGCCTAGAATTTAGTCACAAACAGTTGTGTGCAATTTTGCAAGTTGCTTACACTCTCAGATTTCTTATATGTCACATTTCTTCACTGATATCGTCCCTGTCCACCTCCGAGAGGGTTAAGAAGGGATATGTGTTCCATTTAGTGTGTGTGTGTCACTTACAAGTGACAACACTGTTTATTTTCTGAAACATTGGCACCTGGTAGAGATCTTAGGCTTAGTGACAGCAGAAGTGTTAATTAGAAAACCAAAGATGGGGCTCCAGGGCCATAGCCTGCCCCTATTTTGTTGTGACTTCAGAAATCTGTGCAACTAGGATAATGTTCATCACCAGTTAGCACAGGGTCAGGCACTGTGTAGAACTCAATAATTAGTAGCTACTGATGTTAACATGAGGCTGAAATTAGTACCTCCCCCATCAACCTCACAGAAAGAGCATGTCTTTGTGCCATCAGTACTGTTAAGGGGGAAAGACATTAACTGAGAACCATGTGATCCCCTCTTTTCCTGGACAGTCCCTCTCTCTAATGCCCCTCTCCTCCAGTGACTAGTCCTTAGGAACTGCCTTCCTCTAAGGTCCTGAGAGGCATATACAAGGCTGCAAGAATTCCCAGGAAGCGGGTGAGCCCCCACCTGTGGGATGGCCACAGTGGCTCTGGGCCCCGGCATGAGACCCCCAAGCCCATCATCCTCACCCCCAGACCTCTGTCTCCTCCCCCATCTCTGCAGCATCCAGGAGGATTACAAGTACATCCAGTGTGGTGTGCCCCCTCAACAGTCCTCGGTGACCACCATCGTCAAATCCTACCACTGGAGGGTCACCCTTGCCCCACACCCCAAAGACATTATTTGGTAAGCCCCCTCTGTCCCTCCCCTCTCCTTTGAGCTCCTCTGAGACTGAGGAAGGCCATAGGAGGGGAAAGGAATCAGGACCTGTCCTCCCACTTCATCGCCCACATATGGCCCCCCCCCGGGCCATGCCTCTCCTGGGCACCACAGCCTCTGCCCACCCCCAAACCACCCCACCACAAGCATAGAAGGCATTCAGCCTTTGGAGAAATGGTTTTTCCTTCAGACAGAATTCAGGTCTTTTTTTTTTTTTGGCTCACCAATGGGATATATTCAGGGCTTTTACAAATGTTGTGACCGAAGGGAAGGTCCAGGACTGTTGCTTGCAGGTGTGGGCCCAAGAGGCTGAATCAGACCAGGGAAGCCTGGTACACAGCTGGCGTGCAGGAAACAGCATGTGGGCTCTGTCTGAGGGCTGAGACCCAGGGTCCTGAGTGCATCGCCCTCCTCCATCTCTCCCCAGGAAACACCTGTCTGTCCGCCGCTTCCATTGGTGGGCCCGCTTTATCGCAATCAACACCTTCCTCTTCTTCCTCTTCTTCTTCCTCACCACGCCTGCCATCATCATCAACACCATCGACATGTACAACGTCACCCGCCCCATCGAGAAGCTGCAGGTGCCTCCTCTGCTTGGGCCAGGCATGGGGGCCCCAGGGAAATGAAGGAAGAACTTGGGCAAGGATGGGATGGGGGCCCACTAGAACGTGACTCCAGAGCCCATGCAATTGTGGCAGTGGCAGCAGTGTAAATGGTGGCATAGAGTTTCCTTGGTTCAAAAAGGAATAAATATGGATCGTTGTCCATCTTAGGGACTAGGGGCTGAAGAGTTGGGGAGCTGCAGGCAAGTTCTGGGGTGAGTGTGGGGGGATGGGCAGTCTAGTCAAGTGTAGCCTTGGAGGGCTTCTCTAGACTGGGTCAAGCTAAAGGTACAAGAAATGCAGCAGAAGGTGTGGCAATCATGGCAGCTCTGTTCTCCCCGAGTTCCCCAGAGCTTGGGTCCCTGGTTTGAAACTAGGATTGAGGTTGGGGAAGACTGAAGTCCCAAGGTGGTCCTCCTAGAGGAGCAAGCCCTCCAGACCTGTCTTCACTTCCTTCACTTTCAGACACGCCCGCTCCAGGCTGGGAGTGCTGGGCCCAGCAGGGGCTGTCCAAGTGAGGGGGTGCCTCATACAGACAGAGGTGTTCAGAAGAAGTGGACTGGCCCATTCCCAAGTTCCATAGCCTCAAGGCTGTTGCAACGACCCTAAAGGCCCCTCTTTTCATGTTATCCCTGTCTCTGCTCCAGCAACCCCCACCCCACACACAGAGTCAAGCCGAGCGCTTCTGCTGCCGCTTACTTTTGCCCTCTTTTTTCAACTTCACTGTAGGCCCCCGGCAAGGGACCACAGCTCTCCCTGGGGATTCTTTCTCTACGCCCTCCTCCTCTCCGCCTCTTCTCACACAGCATCACAATAAAAGCAGTGTCTCCTCCCTGAGATCTGAGATAGCAAAACCTGGCTCTAGCCTTGGGGCCGACTCACTAGGGGCAGTCCAGGTGACCCCTCCAGGGACCTCAGCGTAGAAGACCTATGCCCCTTGGGGATGTCACTTGACCTTGGGGTGTCAGCCTCTGGCCGCCCCAGCCAGGCAGACCCCTGACCAGAAAGGCTGGTCAGAAAAGCCAGACCCACTGTACAGCCTCAGGGACACCAGGCCTGCTCTGGGACTGAGCTGGAGAAGAGGCCAGGGGTGTGGGAAAAGGCAGGGGAGGCCTGGAAAGGGATGGGGGATGCTTCTTGTGCATTGATGTCTCCCTGCCCTCTGCCGCTCCACCCCTGCAGAGCCCAATCGTGACCCAGTTCTTCCCCTCCCTGTTGCTCTGGGCCTTTACGGTGATAATGCCTCTGATCGTCTACCTCTCCGCCTTCCTGGAAGCCCACTGGACCAGGTGAGCTGGGGGCCTCCCCTCCTAGCCCTGCTCTTGGCACTAGCTTCTTCCCCTGCTTCCCAACCCCACCAGTTTGGTGCACTCACATCCTGTCTGGCCTAAGGAACAACATTAATATGGGATGGCTTTGATGCCAGAAACCATCCCAAAAAACTAACAGATTTATTTTTATTATTTGGAAAGAGGGGACCAGATTGTCCCTAGGCCTTTGGTCTCAGGGATGCTGAGATAGGACCACCACATCTGGGGTGTGGAGTCAAAACCAAGCCCTCCTTGGGCTGTTTGCTCTGCCTCCGTCCATGCGTTAAGGATCTGGAGCTATAGGCAGAGAGAGGCAGTGCCAGGAATTCCAAGCCGAGGGCACAGGTTGAGAGGGAGAGTGGGACTTGTTGGGAAAATGTCAGGAGGGCTGTTAAGGCCACAGCAGAAGAGCCCATGCACTCAGTCTGACTGTAGACCCATGTAGCCCACACAGCGCCCACATTTTAACAATTAAAATCTATTTCCTATTTGTTAGCCTTAATAGTTCTACAGTGGTAGCTAATTGGTTAGAAAGTATTTCTACCATACCCTGGGGCAAGTGGACCTGCTTTGGCCTGCAGGCTGCATGAGTCTCAAGTTATTTCCTGCACCGCAAGTTTCTACTATCCTATCAGGCAGTAAGCCAGGAAGTTTGTCCTAACAGTCCTTACTGGTCTTTCCTCTGGCCAAGAACAGGGCTTCTGTTGATGGTTGAAACTCTGCAAGGATTCGGAGTATCATTGGTAATGTCCTTTTAACAGAGATGTCAAGTATATGGCATATGTGTACCCTCCCTCCCTTTCCTATGCCCAAGGCTGACATCACTAGTTGATCATGCTGTTCTTTCCTGCTGCTCCGAGCCAAGCACAGCTCACAGTGCTCCATGGAAATGGCATTGGTATACACTATCAAACCATTTTCTAGACCAGGTAACCGTCTCTCTCTCTCCATTCTGTAGTTAGGCATTTCGTTCTTAACATACCTCTCTTTGTTTCCTTCTAGGTCAAGTCAGAATCTGATCATAGTGCACAAGTGCTACATATTTCTGGTGTTCATGGTAGTCATCCTGCCCTCTATGGGACTGACCAGGTACGTCACCTCCAATTATCCTTCCTCTCTTCAGCCAGGCTCACCCTAGAGTTGGAACCTCCAAGATAACTATAGGCCCCCCGTGGTTGCTGCAAACCCATTCCTCAAATGATAGTCCAGTGCCTGGCAGGAGCCTGGCAGGAGCCTGGCATGAGCCAGGTACCATGTGAACTCTAAGCTGCCAGCCACAAACTCTGCCCTCAAAGAGTTTGTCATCCAGCTGGGGAGACAAGCCATATCTCCCAGCTAACTTACAGCCTGAGGTGGGGAGAATGCGGCCAGTGTGCAGTAGAAATTCAGAAGAGAGAGAGAACACTGTGGGAGAAATGGCTGGTGAAGTTTTCCCGGAGAGGATGGCCTCAAGCTGAAAGGCCAGAGGGTTAGGGGCAGAGGTGGCCCAGCATTAAGAAGGAAGAGAGGCAGTGTGGATTGGCCAGCTGGAAAAGTAAGATGTGAGAGTCTTTGGAGATTGAGCAAGGGAAGGTTGGAAGGAGAGAAGCCAATCCAAGAGGAATTGAACCCCAGGCCTTACTTCATAGATTTATGAACTGAGGGGTCTGCCTTATTCTTGCTTTTAGTTTGGACGTCTTCTTCCGCTGGCTCTTTGACATCTACTATCTGGAACAGGCATCCATCAGGTTCCAGTGAGTACTAGAGTGCATGTTTCAGGGGTACACTGGGGCTTCTGTGGGTTCACACCAGGTGGACATGTGTATCTCTTATTTGCTCATACAGGTAGAGGTGAACGCACGCAAACACTCTCGTTAGGCAGCCTCTTAACATTTCCCATGCCACGGACCCCTTTGGAAATCCAGTAAAGCCCAAGGACTCCTTCTCTGAATGAAATTTTTGAAATAATTGTGGATTCAAAAAAATTCCCCCCCAAAAATGTCCTATGTACCGTTCATCCAGTGTCCCCCGACTGTAACATCTTGTATAACTATAGTACAATATCACAGCCAGGAAACTGATGCTGATACAGTCCACAGAGCCTACGCAGATTCCGCCAGTTGTACATAGACTCTGAGTAGATGCCTTTAAATGTACAAAATACCTGAGTTATAATGAAAACCAATTACACTGAAATACAGTTATCAAAATAGTTTAAAATTCAAATTTGTAATACTGACCTCTATTAACACATTTAATAATAGGACAATGCATTCTAAATGTAGGCAAGCAAAAGTTATGTTTTATTGTTTTAAAGGCATCAGTGTGAAAGCTGATGTTACTTAGCTAGAAGAAAAATACTTAATTAGGGCAGGGGAGTGGATTTTTGACAAGGCAACATGCAGGTCATGTTGGGCATTCAGCCAATTTCAGGTTTTTTGGTTGTTTTTAGGGTTACAAAGTCCAAATTTTCAGAGATGTAATGTTGCAAACAACACACAAGCTTTCATAGCTTGCTTTATAGGACAAGGACTGGACTTCTCCAAGCTTTCTACATTTAAACTGTAATTGCAACAAGTTGATTATTTTTTTCCCCAAGATGAATGAGTTCATCTTTGACTAGGTCACTATCTTCAGTACAGTGTGTTTACAGAAAGAAAAGAATTGTGAGTTCATGACTCAACTTTGATGCCCTTGAGAAAGAAAAGCTTTTGAAGGAGTTCTGAAATATATCCAGGGAGCTCACAGATTTCTCTTTTCAAGGAAACTGACAGAATTATGTAGATGGGGACACTGGAAAGCAACAGAGATGCCTGGGTCACCCACATGAGAACAGGCAGTGTGGCCATCCATTCAGGTGACTGAATGATGCCTGCTTGAAGTTGGCCAGCTAGCTACCTCAAACACTGTGTGCAGACAGGAGAATTTTGATCATGTGAATTTAGCATGTCTAATTTAGCAGGCTGTCTAATAACTAGCATCATTTTGAAGTGATGATGAGCACAAATGGTGTTAAGAGAGACCAGCAACTTGATACGGAAATACTTCATTTCAACTGGTGACAGACCTTGGCTGCTGTGATGTGCTGCCCATGTTCTTAAAGGAAGGAAGTGCTAAATTGCAGTTAGAGGCTAGTGAGAACAAAGATTTAAGTTTTTTCCCTATTTTCTCCATATTCAAGGTCACAGGCCCCTAAAATTCTACTTATGGGCTCTCCAGGGTCTGTGGACCCAGGTCAAACACCCTTGCTTTAGCACAAGCGCATGCATGTATCTCCTGATGCATCCACACTTGCTGTAGACCACCACCATCCCTCAAAAGGGTCCTCCTTAACTTAAATTGGGCTGGGAGCACATTTAAATAGTCGGCCATCTGTATCCACGGGTTCCACATCTTTGGATTTGACATATCGCGGATTAAAAATATTCAGGAAAAAAATTCCAGAAAGTTCCCAAAAGCAGAACTTGAATTTTTTGTGTGCAGGTCACTATTCACATAGTATTTACATTGTATTTGGTATTATAGATAATCTAGAGATGATTTAGAGTATATAGGAGGAGATGCGTAGGTAATACGCAAATACTCCATTTTACACAGGGGACCTGAGCATCCCTGGATTTTGGTACCCACAGTGGGTTCTGGAACCAATCCCCTGTGGACACCTAGGGACGACTGTATATGAAAGTTACTCTCCCCATCTCTACCTCCACCCCATCCCCATTCCCTCACTACTCTTTTCTTCTCTCTCTCCTCTTCCCTCTCAATATCTCTGCCCTTTCCCTCTCCCTCGGCTTCTGCGGCTATCTTCCACCCTCCCCCACACCCAGGTGTGTGTTCCTGCCAGACAATGGTGCCTTCTTTGTCAACTACGTGATCACGGCAGCTTTGATTGGCACAGGCATGGAGCTGTTGCGCCTGGGGTCACTCTTACTGTACACCACCCGCCTCTTCTTCTCCAGGTCGGAGCCGGAGAGAGTCCACATCAGAATGGTAAGTGACTGACCCATTCCTGAGCACAGCCCTCGGAGTTGCCCTTGGGTGGTTGGTCTAACAGGAAGAGGGCCTGTTAGAAGCCTGGGGGGATCTAAGGTGGGAGGCGCAGTGAGGTGGGGCACGGGGTGCTTCCTGGACACCAGGGTTGGAAGGGGAGATGCCGCGCTGGACAAAGACCCACAGAAGCAGCTAAGCCAAGTGGGCTAGGTCATCTCAGGACAACCCCTGCCTTCTGCCCCAGAACCAGGCCATGGACTTCCAGTACGGGCGCGAGTACGCGTGGATGTTGAACGTCTTCAGCGTGGTAATGGCGTACAGCATCACCTGCCCTATCATTGTCCCTTTTGGTGAGTCATCCATGAGGCACACCTGGGGCTGCGCGCCCTCAGGCTGGGAGGGGGAGTCAAGCCCCACCCACAGCATCAGTCTCCCCCCTGGATCCAGAGGAGTCCTGGGACAACCTGTCCAAAGGGCTGGGAGGGGCCAGGTCAGGGCCAAGCCAGTCAGGGCGCTGAGGTTGGATGGCTGTTTACAGACGATGTTTGTTGAGCAAATGACTGTTTACCCACTACTGGCAAGAGAGGTTCTGAGGGCTCAAGGGCAGCTGCTGGTCCCAGAGGTCAGCACCACGGGGCTCCCACAGCCCTCAGCCCTTGCAGCTCTGACAGAACTGAATCTGGCATCTCAGGCCTGGGGGGCCTTGGGACGGCACAGCCCTGACCGTGGAAGCAGCAGCTGAGCGTGCCCCCGTCTTCCGGCCCCCCAGGGCTTCTCTACCTGTGCATGAAGCACATCACCGACCGCTACAACATGTACTACTCCTACGCGCCCACCAAACTCAACGAGCAGATCCACACGGCCGCTGTCCAGCAGGCCATCTTCGCGCCGCTCCTGGGCCTGTTCTGGATGCTCTTCTTCTCCGTCCTACGACTGGGTAGGTACCAAGCCTGCCCGGCCATCCTGCCTCAGCCTGCTCCCCACTGCTCCGTCACCGCCAACAACAACTCTGTTAGAACAGAAAAACCTGAGAGGAGCAAGGTGTTACTCATGGAACATGGCCAAGCCTAGTGCCTCCTCTAGGCCCAGAGGCTTGTGTTAGAGTCCTAGCAGACCCTGGACACTAAGAGGAGGACCAGCATGGTCCAAATCATATACATTTTGGTTTACAACCCTCAGGGCAAACCACTCCCCCCATCCTATTCCTTCATTCCGACTTAAGTCCAGCAGGAAATAAAATATTAGCCATCAATTCCCATAACATCCCCTCTGGAATCCTATAAGATGCCTGATCTTACAGGTTGCCAAAAACCTGGAGGAGGATTCAGAGTCTGCCCCAGCTGCCAGCTTTCCCCCTCCTCTTGACTATGCAGAGCTGCTGTCCCTGCCCGGGCAAGCTCAGAGACACCCTCATGGAGGGAGTCCCCACAGGCCACAGCCTGGAAGTCCCCTCTCTCTCCCCTCTCTCCCATGCCCCCGGTGGCAGTCTCAGAAGAGGCTCATGCTGACCTCCCCATCCTCCTTCGTCCCTCTACACTTGCCTTCTCTCAAGACACTTGACCTTAACCTTCTCAGTGGCGTGGAGAAGGGGAAGTCTGTGTTTTCTTACTGCCTTCACAGTGGCATCTGTCAACAGTCAGCTCACAGTTATTTGTCGTCACCCCCAATTTCCCATCCCCCTAGCTTTTCCTTGCCCTAGCGACTTCATTCTTTTTGATAATGCTTTTTTCCTAAGTATAAAGTACTACATGTTTATTATCAAAAATAGAAAAAAAAATGGAAAGATCAGAATTTGAATGACCTATCATCTCGCCTACAGCCTGATGTCTGTTGCTCCCAGACCTCATTCTGTGCATATGTTTTGAGGGACAGGACAAAGCAGGAGGGGCTTTGTTGGTTGACTGTTACTTTACAAAACTGTGGTATTTTATACCATTCAGACTGAGTTTCTTCACTGACCATTATGTTCTGAGCAATCTCCTGTGTTATTTAAATACTGTTTGAACATATGAGTTTTAACGGCTGCATTAAATCCTGTCAGTTATAGTCAGTTCTCCATTGTTGGATATTGAAGTTTACCTTTTTTTTTTTTGCTTTTATAGGAACACAATGGTAAACATTGCAGTAACTTCCAACTGCAACGACTGATTTTTAATATTTACATAATTAGGAAATTGCTGCGGTAAAAGTTACCGAACGTCCTCAAATGAGACGTAGATGACTTTTAAATTCTGAATTGCTTTTCTGTGCCATTAGCACAGGTAACTGAGTACACTCACATCCACAGGGCTTACAAGGAAAGGTGTGGGTCTGAGATTGTATTTTGGGGGCAAAGACATAAATGAGTAGCTCAAAGGTACTTTCCAGGGACTGTGATGGGAGAGGTAACTGATGTGGAAGAGGAAGTGTTTAATGGGCACTCAAGTGGATATTTAAGCCAATTAATTTTTTTCATGGATTCCACCAGATACCAAATTCTAAACTGGCCAAATGGCACAGAGGGATGATGCCCCTGTGTCGGGCTCATTGATCTAGCTGTTAAGAGGAGAATTGGACAGGGACGTCTCTGCCCTAGGCTCCAAACTCCAACAGAGGTGCTGAGCTAAGCCCCAGGCATTTGTCAGCCTGGGCGGTGTCTCAGCTGGCACACCTCTGCCCTCAGCTCTGATCCTCAAGCACCAAGCCCACGCCTTTCCTTCTTGCAGGTTCGCTCCACGCCATCACCTTCTTCTCCCTCTCCACTGTTATACTTTCCATAATAATTGCCTGCTTTGGGACTTTTCTGGGGAAGCTTCAGAGAGCATCTGACTATGAGGTGAGTTCCCACCCTGCCTTTCCTCTATTGGTTCTCTCTGGCCCCCCGGGAGCATAGCTCTCGGACACCCTCCTGACCGAGGCATCCATAGCACCACAATGACAAAGGTTCTTGCCAGTCTCTCTGATGATGGGATGTACAAACTCAGTGCTGGGTGTCTGTGCTGTGAATATCCTTCCACTGGCCCCAGAATCACACCTCAGTTATGATAGGGAAATCTAGAAGACAGCTGTCCTCTCCTCTTCTCCCCTCTGACACCTCCTCCAAACCACAGGCTGCTGGCTCATCCCTCCTATGATGTAAGCCTGTCCAGCCACTGAGCTATAGGACCATTTCAAGGGACAGAGGGTTGAGAGAGAGGATGGAGTGCAGGAGTAAAGGGGGAGGGTGGTGAAGGATAATAACCTGGGGAAAAGGGATAGTCCTCTCACTTTTAAGAATCTCAGGATATTGAACTTGAGGCCGTCTGGAGGGGACACCTGGCTCTCTGGGCCCCATGACTCCTTTGGCTCTTTGCCAGTGGGGTCCAGCCAATTATTAGAGAAGGGAACCAACCCATGCCAACAAAACTGTGTGCTCTAGGTCAGCACTTCCCCAAGTGAGGTGACTGCAGAGGTGTATTGGAATGATTTCCAGTAGACTGAAACATTATTTTTTCTTTTTCATGGTTACACATTTATTTTTCTAGTTAACCTTCTGCTTATGGCAACTGACACAGGTTTTCTATTTATAATTGTGAATTGTTTCCTTTTAAAATGAATTTATATAAGAAAGAAAGTTGATTTAAAGTATTAGCATCCTGTTGAATCAGAAGAGGGAACTTCTGGGAAGAGGATCTTCTTGCTTCTGGCGGCCCTATATCTGGGGCCCTTGGGCACAAGCACTCACTGCCCTCTCCACCTGGCCCCTTCTTCCATCTGCTGGCCCAAGCCCGTGCTAGTGAAGGACCAGGGCAGATGACACCTCTGGCTCTGTCTTCCCAATACAGTGATGTCCTGGAATCTGGCTGCCCAAATGTCCACTCTAGAGACAGAAGGTGATATCTCGTCTCATTACAGAGGTAGAGGGGGATTTTCTGGCAGGAAAGAAGATAGAGTTGAAGGCTTCTCCTAGAGTCAGGGCAGGCTCATCTTTGAACCCCGACCTCCACTCTGCTTACTTCCCCCCATTATGGTCCTTGGGAATGGGACATTCCAGAAGGATCTCCGCAGCATCCCAGCCCTTTCTCTGTCCTCCTGGGCATCAGCCCTGACAACTGGCTGCAGGTCTGGAAAAATAGAAGATGCATTGACTTTAAGGGGAGCGAGAGGCCCAGGTACAGGGTCCAGGCTTCTCTGGATGAGGGGAGGACGAGAGCAAAGGGCGACACCCCCATCCTGTGACCTTCGTGTCCCTCCCCTCACTGCAGCCCGAGGAGGAGATGGAGACCGTGTTTGACCTGGAGCCCAGCAGCACCTCCTCCACGCCAACTTCCCTTGTGAGTCAGTGCCTTCGCCCTGGGACAGGTCAGGAGGGGGGTGCTTACAGGGTGGGCTACTCCAGAGGCCTTGTTGGGGCACCAGCAGGTAGTACCCGCCGTGGGTATTGGGGAGGAGACGGGGGTCCCCGGACTCCCCCCTCTGACGCAGCAGGACTTGGCCCAGGTCAAATTGCTGCCGTGGCCCTGGCTGAAGAGCTGGAAAGATAGAAGATCCAGGATTTACTCGACATACAATAGAAGGAACTCAGAGAGGAAGAGAAAGGTCAGGGCGAACCCAGCCACAGCGAGCTCAGTCGTGTAGACACAGGGACGTGCTGGGGCTCGGCCTCAGGACCGAAGGCTGCCTCCAAGGGCACAGGTGCCAGGCAGCGTGGCGCAGACAGAGCTGCAGCGAGCTATTGGAGTTCTGCACTGAATGGTAAGGCAGAGGGGCCGTGCAGGATGAGTGAGCCCCTCAGCTTATGAAGAGACAAGGCCAGACTCAGAGTGCAGCATCCAGCAGGCTGGGCGTTGGCTCCCACACCATGGCTCAGCCTGGAGGGCCATGAGCACACGCCCACAGCCCAGCCACCAGTGTGGATACTGGGCCACCTATGCGTGCACTGAGCTGGGTGCCAAGTCGGCCCATGCCCTGATGCCAGGGTGCCTTGGAGGAACACTGAAGAAGGGCACCAGCCAGGCTGGGCACTCCGGGAAGGCTTCCCAGAGGAGGGAACATCTAGTCCGACTCCAGGAATGGGAGAGTAGTGGTTACTTGGTGGAATAGTGTGTGGGGGAAGAGCATTCGAGGAAGAGGATCAACCTGTACAAAGGCCCGGAAGAGAGAATCTGGAGCATTTGGGGAACCGCAGACAGCGTTGGGCCTGGTGGAAAGGCAGGGTGGGCAGCAAGGCCTGGTGGGAGAGGAGGCCGTCTAGTCACGGCAGAGCTGGGTGAAAGTGCGCAGATGCCAACAGTGGGTGGACGTGCCTAGGCTGGGTGTGCACAACTGCGGGTCTTTCTCACTTTGAAACAAACCATACAGATTATCTCTGGGAGGTGACAGAGGAGAAGGAGCTTCAGACCAGAGAGGTGACTAAGGTTTCAAAGCAGGAAGGTCTCTCTTCACATAGCATCTCCCTAGGGCCCTTCCAAGATGACCTCTCTCGAATATTATCAACAATCATTTATTGAAATCTCACAAACCAGATGCTCCACCATTCTCAATCTTGACCTTTATGATACACCCACACCACAGAGGTTTTTATCCTTATTTTTCAGAGGGGAAACTGAGGCTGAATTAATCTAGACCCTCAGGTACTACTAAGCAAGGAAATGGCAGAACAAAGTTTGAACCAGATCTGTCATGGTCTACAGTTTGAGGGTTTTTTTTTTTTAATTACTGAAATTGATTTTTTAAATCTTTCATTATTATAACAGTGGTATATAAGCATTGTAGATAATTATGAGGAAAAAAAATAAGCAAAAATAAGAAAATAAAATGTCCATATTCCTACTACCCAGAGATGACCACTGATACCTTAATGTATATTCTTTCAGATATATACATATATATTCTAAAATGGCATAATACTGCACACTATTTTATAATGTGTGTTTTTAATTAATGATCTCCGTCTTTTCATATATATATATTTTTATTACCTCTTCAAATATGCAGTCCACATTCAAATTGCCCTATGTGTTTCAGAAATAGCTTTTACAGCTTGTCCAAACCAAGATCCAATCCAGTCTCTCTGCTCGATTAATCCGGCACCTGTGCATGTCCCTTTTATTTTAGTACTGTCTCTGTTTTATGACTTGCTGGGGATACCAAGCCGGTAGTCTTGCAGAATGACCCACCTGCCTGACTTTTCTGGCTGTTTCTCCATGATATCTTATAGCAGCCTACACTAGCCCCTGTATTTCCTGAAAACTAGAAATTAGATCCAAAGGCTTGCTAGATTCACGTTCAACACTAGGGGCTAGGACACGTTGCAGGCAGTGCTGTGCGTCACACCAGGAGGTATATAAATCCCATTTATTTCCATTAATGATGCTGAGGTGACTCCCTGATTCGGGGATGATTGCTGGCTTCTTCTGTTGTTCAGTTACCATTTTCCCTGTGACCAAAAATCATCTATAGGGTTGACTTCGGCCTGATGAGAATATCTAAATTCTTCTGTTGAAAAGGTGTTACCTCATTGACTAGGGCTGTTTGGTTTCACTGAAATAAATTCCTACAGGAAAGGTGTAATTCTATCCAATAATTACCTATTTTCAAAATAAGGAGTTGGTTTAAAAGTTATTTCAAAGGATGACAAGCAGCTCTGTCCCTAGTACTTCTTGTGTTTTTCTATTCTGCTGCCATCCCAGGCCTTCCTGGGACCTGCCGGGACGTCACAGGTCACAGGACCAGGACCTCAGCTAGCAGTTCTGGTTTCAAATCCTGATTCTCAAGCCAGCCAATGACACAGCCTGAGGGAGTTGTGGACGCACCTCTGAAGCTGTATTAGAAAGCGCACTAGCTCAGGAATGGGGGTCTCTCCAGACCCGGGCGTCAGGGAGCCACATGTCACCTCCCCCTGGGTTCAGCCTGACCTAGAGCCAAGAATGAATGGCACCTGCACTGAAGGAACAGTGGACAAGGGGTTAGGAGACGCACACTAACCAGCTGGGGAGCACGTAGATACTCATTGAATGTTCGAGAGCAACTGGGTGGGGGGATGGCCAGGACCCCAGCTGCTGGGGAAGAAGGAAGGAGCCGTGGCTTAGACAGGCAGAAGCTCTGAGGGTAGGGCATCAGGGGGAAGGGTGTGTCCAGGGCCTTGCCCCAGATGTAACCTCACACCATCTCCCCTCTCTGTCCCGAGCAGCTGTATGTGGCCACCGTGCTGCAAGAGCCGGAGATGAACCTGACCCCAGCCTCCTCCCCGGCCCGGCACACCTACGGCACCATGAACAGACAGCCAGAAGAGGGAGAAGAGCAGAGTGGTGTGAGGGGCTTTGCGAGGGAGCTGGACTCGGCCCAGTTCCAGGAAGGGCTGGAACTGGAGGGCCAGAGCCAGTACCACTGACCAGGAACCCAAGGCCTCTACCTGGCAACTCCAGCCTGGAGTGGTGGCCAGGGGAGAGCCCAGCAGGGGGAGGCAGGAGGGCGACTAAGACCGCCCCACTACCTCCTGCAGACTTTGGGAAGGCCTCGTCGGAGCCCTGGCTCTCTGTCAGCCAAGTGGAGGCCCCGACCTGCTGACCAGCTAGAACGGGAAATGCTGGGCAGTGCAGAGGGACCCTGGGACGGGATGGAGGATACAGGCAAGAACCACATCACGGGAGCAGTGGCTAGACCCCTGAGCACAGAGATTGAAGGTTGGGGGACTTTATTGGGGTCACGTTGGAGAAGGTGTGCATGAGGGAAGAGGCAGGAAGAAGCCCACTGAAGACTCTCTGGGGTCTTCGCCACCCTTCCACCAGCTGCCCTGCCCAAGGAGCTTCTGCTGCTGCTCTTATGCCCTCTCCCAAACCCCAGCCCCAGCCATCCCTCCCCTGCCGTCTGAGGAAGCAAAGGTATGTATGCTAGGCCTCACCGACAAGACACCTCCTCCATGTTTCCCTGCATGGGGATCTGTAAAGAGACTTTCTGCACCCACCACAGCGAGGGGCAGCTGAGACCATAGAGCTGAGGAGGTGACTGAGCCCTTTCCTGTTCTCTGCCCCTCATCACATGTCCCCAGGAGCAGCAGAGTAGAGACCCTTCTCCTTTCTATTCCTGTAAGAGTAGCTAGGATATGGTCACCTGGGGCTCATTAAATGGGACCTGTATGCATTTTAATGAAGGTAACCAGGGCTGGTTAGTACAAGATGGGAGGGGCAAAGGCAGAATTCATGGAGGTGGATCTTCTCCCAAAACACTGAGTGATGAGAAACCAGATATAACTCCCTAAGCCCCACGGCCTAATGAGAGGACCCCCAAGGTCAAGGATGTGGCCACTGAGAGCTGCCTCCCTCATACCCATCTGAGTGTCTAGGCCCCCAGCATGACCGAAGTGGGCAGCAGCCTAGGGTGAGAAGCCCATGCTGCAAACTGAAGGCACTGACCTTCCCCTGGCCTCCAAGTAGGAGGCTGTCTCCTCTTGGGGCCACCCTCTACCTTGGACTGAAGAGCAGTCAAGTGGCCTTCCGTGTGATCTTAGCTCAAACACTGCAGATACCCTGCAGGGAGTGGGGTGGGGTAGGGGCCGTGTCCTCCACGGACAGGCAGAGTAAGGCTGCCCTCCCAGGGCTGCCACCACCCGAGGCCCAGAGGAGCCAAAGTCACATCACAACACTGGTGACACCTGGCACCATTGCCGCAGGCAGTGTGGTACAGGCCTTGGCCTCTGGGGATAGGCCCCATCAGGACCACCAGAGAGCCATTGGGGAAGACATAGAGAAGGGCTTGTTAGGGCCTTGGTGGATGAGAATGAGCCAAGTCAAATGGGGTCTGCATTCTCTAGAGCTCTCCTGAGCTCCCTCCAAAGGTCTGGGTCCCTGCAGCCGACCTACGCAAGGTGGGCACCAAGGTTCACCTCACCTGGGTGTTTCCCACTGGCTCCCAGGCACGTGAGTGAGCTCAGATCACCTGCTGCTCCACCCTTTCCCACACTTGGCTCCAGAAGCTCCAAGCTTGACCCCAGAGGAGAAATAGCACTCTAGAGGCAACCATTGCTCTCCCCTGAGAGCTCAACCCAGACTCTTGCTTGAAGGATCCTCCCAGAGAGCCTGGGTCAGCTGGGGAGGAGACAGTCTGTCCTTGTCCAGGTAGGAATAAGAAGGAAATTAAATGCAGCTGGTCCCTCATAAACCCAAGCCCCCCTGGGCCTCCTCCCCGGAGCCTTTCACCAGCCAATAAGAGGAAGGGTCCTTTCCAGAGCAGAGTGGTCAGGACCCCAGCAGGGAGCTCTGCCCACCATGGGGAGGTGGCCGGCTCCAGGCCCTGTCCGACCCCCAGGTGTGTGGCAAGGGGAGTCCTGCCGGAAGTTGGCCTGAGGGCTCCCCTTCGCTTGGCACTCCTTGCTGGTACCTGCCCTCAGGCTCCACAGCCCTGCTGGACTCTCCCTGCTGCTTTGGCCTCTCTGCCCCTCTCTTCCCCCTGCCCACTGGCAGCCTGTGGGAACTACACATGGAAAGGGTCCCGGCAGATGACGTGGCAGCATGGCTAGAACTTCCCCCTCTGAATCTGGGTCAAGTGCAATCTGGTCTTGAGAGAAGGCGGTGAGGATGTTGGGAAAGTTCCTGAGTCCACTCACCTCTTGGTTCTTCCTGGAGACCCAGAGCAACCAGCACAGCATAGCCACAGCCACGATCTCCCACATGCTTGGGGTGTGGGCGTGCTTTGGCACCTTACAAGCCACATCCAGGCCCTCCCCAAGGAACACCCCTCCCATCTGCTCCCATCTATTGGCCTACCTACCACCATCCATCCCTACCCCACCGCCCACTTCCCAGCTGCCCCTGCCCCATCTATCCCCCAAAGCCTCTCAGACCCGATCCTCCCTGGAGGGAGCTGCCTCCCGGGACCCGGTATTGTCTAGAACCTCTGAGAAGTGCCCCTCCCTGGGCCTAGAGCAGCTCCATGCCTGCCTGCCTCTTCCTCAGACGCTTCTGGAAGCAAAGTGCCTATCAGCAGCATTGCATCCTCTGGGGACCCTGGTGGGGGGTGTGGACTTCCCTTGGCCACCACAACTAAAGGAATGTGCCAGAACGCCGAACCTTCTTGTTATTAACGCTATGACCGTGCCTTGAATAAACAGGTCCTCCCAACCTCTCTTGGCCTGTGCCTCTGCCTCTGGACCAGCCCAGCTGGGCCTTCCCTCCACCAGAAGGACCCAGAGCTCTCTGATGGGCCAGCCTGAAGGACCGCACCAGCTTTGTGACTCTGACCCCTGGGGCCAGAGCTGCCCTTCTGGGATCCCTGACCCCTGAGGCCCTCCCTGGCCCCTGTACTCACAGGGGAAGGCCTGGAAAGTGCTTCCTGGTCTGCTGGAGAAACAGGAAGTGAATCTGCCTCCTCTCCGCTGTGGATGCTCTGAGAGCTCCCTGAGCAGTAGGGGAGAACTTTCTGGTCTGTGAGCTACCCGGGAGCCATTGGGGCAGCCTCCCCTGGGCAGCAGAAGCCCTGGGGTTAGTGCTGGACCCCGAGAGCCAGCCATTGGCCAGATTAGCAGCTGGACTCAACAAGACGAAGACTTCAGGTGGAAGCCCCCAGAAGGAGCGGTGGGCAGAGCCCGGGTCTGCACCAGCCTTAGCCAGCAGTGTGAGGGCAGGGGGAGGTCGAAGAGAGGCTGGGCTTTGTAGGTAGGGTGTGTGGCGTGGCCAGGTCAGGCTTGAATGAGATAAGAAAATGCTCTAGCAAAGGGTAGTTATGTCTACTGTCGCAGCCATGACAAGGGAGAAAAAAATTCCTTTCCCTTGGGGGACATGTCCTGGCCTAGGAGACTGAGGTTCCGGTCCTTGCTCTCGCCAGTTCGATGACCCTGGGCTGGTCACCTCATCCTGAAAGCAGGAGAGAAGGTTGACTGCTCTGCCTCATTACTGAATAGAGCTGATTCATCTGCAGAGACGGAACAAGCTGGGGAGGTGGGAGGGGCTTCCTCCCCCACTGCTCCCTGTGAGGACAGAGGACAGTCTCGGGCACAATGCCTAAGGGATGCTCCCCAGTCCCCCTCGCCAGATCCTCTTCTCAAGCTTTCATAGTCCACCTGTGGACATGGGTTCAAAGCCACCATGGTGTGAGCCTGGGCATGGGGCCGGGGCCCATCCCCTTCACCCCCTCCTCTCAAAGCAATTATTTCCCAAGTGGGATGAAATCCACAAGGGGTTCTCCCATAGGGAGAGGAGTAGGAAGACCACCCTGGCCTGGTGGGAGGGGCTGTGTCCTGCAGCTGGGACCAGGAGTCAGGGTAGGGGGTGGAGGAGTGAGAAATGGTGGGACTAGGGGACAGGACAAGAGGGAGGCCTGGTGCCAGGGGGGTCCAGGAGGCCAGCTGGATGGATCATTGGCGCACCAGAATGAGTGCTGGGCTGGGCTCTACAGGACTGAGGAGAAAGCAGAAGGGCCCTGGGCTCCAAGAGGCTCTACCTGGAGGCCAAGCTTGGGGTGGCTCCCTGCTCCTGTCCCAAAGCCCTCATGCTGGGGATGGTCCATGCTGGCCGACTCCAGGTTTGCTCCGTAAAGGCCCCAGGGAGGCCTGGCAAAGCCTGGCTTGTGGGAAGACAGTTCACCGGTTTTCTCAACAAAGACTGTTTTCTGAACATCTGAGGTCCCTTGGCCTTGACAACCAGCAGCCTAGCATCTCTCAAGCTTCAAGTGCTGGGGTCTCCATCCCAGCTGCAAATCGGAGTCTCCTGGGAGATTTTAAACAATCCCAACATCCAGGCCCAGTCCCTCAACAGCCAAAATTTCTGGGATGGGCCCATACACCTCTCTTTTACAAATTCCCCCCAGGTTATTCTGGTGTGGGGCTCAAGAAAAAAATACTTTTGATGCCCCAGTGGGAAAAGCACTCCTACATGCTCCAGACCCAGTGTCTGCAGTCACACAGCCTGGCAGGCCTGGCCCTCTGAGCTTAACAAAAATGAGGCCGCAGCTGGAGCTAGGGAGGCTCTGCTGCGGTGACGTTGGTCTTGGCTGGAAAAACTGGACCTCGGGGTGAGGGTAGCTGGCCTGGGTCCAGCCCCTTCAGCCATTCACAGCCCAGACCCAGGGCCCTACACCTTGGTGGCCAGGAGCTCATGGGAGTTAACCCCAGGCCTGCTCCGATGAAGCCCACTCTTAATGCCACTCGCTCCCCACACCCCGGGCTATCTCTCTACCTTTGTCTGCCTGCTCTTCCTGACCACACACACACTCACACACACCCTCATACATACACACACTCACACACACACTCACACATGCACTCATACATGCTCTTCAACTCCAATGTACACTCCTGGTTTAACAAATTTAATCTCCTTAAATAGCCCGCCATGGGATTGGCACCTACCCCTCCACGGAGGATCTAGAAGCTCTCCTCAGAAACCCTGCCAGATTTGGCACTGTTTGCTGCTGTTCTGGCACCTAAGGCATTCAATCCCTGGCCTCACCTTGTCCACCAGGAGGTGGGTTCCCAGACTCCTGACCAGTGAGCTGCTTCAGACTCTGGCTAGTGCAGGTATGTATGGTAACAAACCAACCCCCAAATGTATAATGGCACAAACACTATAGAAGTTTATGTCTCTTTTCTGTAAAATTCAGAATGGGTAAGCCCCTGCTTTACATGCTTGAGAAGTCTCAGACCCCAACAGGCACTTCTGATTAGTAGGCACTTTCCTCCGGGCAGTGATTCAAGGACCCAGGCTCCTTCCACCTACTGGCTCTGCCATGTTCAACACATGGCCCTCAAGGTCACTGTAAGGGCTGCATCAAGCTAGTGGAAGGATAACAGAGCACAAAGGAGCATGCAAGAGTTTGCCGGGTGGGAGGGCAGGTCTGGAAGTGGCACACATGTTCACTCATTCCATTGGCCAGAACCCAGTCACATGCTCCACCTAATGCAAAGGAGGCTGGGAGATGTAGTCCAGTTGTGTGCCCTGCCAACCAGTTTCCACCACAGACCCCCGGCTCCATCAACACCACATCCTTCTCTTTTCCATCCACTCTGGCCTTAACTCTCTTGATCCCATCCTCCCATCCTGCCCTACATCCACCACCCTGCAGCTTCATCTGGCCACAAGCCAACACCCAAGAAAAGACCAGTCTCGGAGGGTCAGAGAGGCACACAGAACAGGTTTATTCCGCATGAGTTTATACAACCACAGTAGGCAGCAAAAGATGAACATGGAGGCAGCTCAGGGTAAGGGGAGGGGGCCTCTCCTGCTGCTTTCTCTTCTATCCACCCACATAAGCATAGGCACACGCCGGATATTAAATACAGGGAACTATGGACCCGCAATCGGTGTGGGCAGAGGCAGAAAGCGTCGGGGTGGAGGATGAGACTCTGGGCCTGCTGGAGGAAGAGCCACTGGGCCTCGGGTCTCTCTGGCAATGAAGCTCCCCCTCCTTCCTTGCCCTTTCGCAGCCCCGCCCCTCCCTGGCTGGCTAGGTTTCCTCCAGAGCAACGATAGGGGAACTCCCACCACACACTGCAAAAGAAAAACTGTCAGGTGGCATCTGAGTGGGCCCCCGAGACCCAATGAGCCCCATCACAGAGCCACCTCCCCCTTCCTCAGCAGGTCTCCTGGTCACCTGATCCTGCTGCCTGTGATTTCACCATGAAGGCCTAAGCTGTCCCTCTCCTTTCCTTGTGAAAAGCAAACATCCCTGGGAGAGAAAAAGCACTGAAGGCAGGCAAGCTGGGAAGGTGCCTGCAGCTCAGCCATCCCATTCTTCCCCCTCCGCTGTCCCCACCTGGCCCAGGCTCACTGGGATGGGAAGACGACAGAAGAGCCTATTTCCTCTGAACAAGCCCCCCATCCCGGGCCCGATGCCACCTCTGCCACCAAAACATGGCTCCTCCTCCTGGAGGAAGAAGGGATGCCAGAGGGGAAATTGGGCAGCTGGGGGTGAGGGGGGCAGAGACCCAGCCCTGCTCCATCACCTCTCTGGTATGGCCAAGGGGACAAGGACCACAGGGCAGGAAGGCCTGGGGGAGCCTGGGCTACAGTGGACACAGATCAAAAGATAGACACGGACAGTCAGGGGCCGCCAGGGGAAGGCCGCTGGGCAGAGTCATCTCTTACTCGCCATCCCAGCCTCGACTCATGGCCTGTACCACAGCCCCATAGAGCTGGCTCCAGGCAGCCCGCATGGCAGGTGTGAAGGCAGGGCCCAGGCACTTCTCCAGCATGTAGAGCAGCGACTCACCCACCGTCTGTAGAGGCAAAGGACACCTGTCACTCCCAAAGGCAGGAAGGCATCGCCTCATTCCACAGGTGAAAAAACCAAGGCCCAGGGCTGGTAAGTAGGCTCCTGGGCCTTTCTTCTCCTGCTTCCTGAGCAGAATTCTGCCCCGATCTTTGGGTACCATATTGTGCCCCACCCTTTCCCCTTAAAGATGGGGCTTTAAAGTGAACAAAGCATTTCATTCCACTCCCAGCCTTGCAACCACCCCATGAGTTGGGTGGAGGCATTGCCAGGGACACCCAACCAAGCCAAGTCTTTGTCCCCAGTTTCCTCCTGTGCAAGGCAGCAATCATGATGTTAAAGAGCCCAGGCTCTATAACCAGATGGATCTGAATTCACTTTCTGACTCTACTACTTATAAGCTGTGTGACCTTTAGCAAGTTTAGCATCCTCGCTGGGCCTCAGTTGCTTTATCAGTAAAACACAGAAAGTAAAAATTCCAACTCTTCATATTGTTGGAATGATTAAATGAGGTCATCTATTAAAAGCTCTTGGCACAGCATCTATACAAAGTAAGTCTTCAACAATAATAGTGGCTCTCACTTTTTATTATTAATTATAAAGTACAGTTTACTAATTCCACAAAGATTTATTGAATAAGTACTAAAAACTAAACACTGTACTAGTGCTCAGGATAGAGAGAACACAAGACAAACTCAGTCCCTTCCTCAAGGTACTTACATCTGGCAAGGTGATTGGACTGGGTGGCTGGCTGTCAGGTCAGTGATCCCCAGTGAATCACACCACAAGGATTCACACCCTTGAGGAGGGCCCCTCTGCCTCAACACTGGGCTCATCCATGTGACTGGTTTTGTCCAATGGGACATTAGCAAGAGTGATGTAGGCGGAGGTTGGAAAAGCACCTGCACGCCAGGGCTTATCCTCTTGGAACACTCCCTTTTGGAACTGAGCTGCTACTCTGTAAAGAAGCTCAGCTACACTACAGAGTGATAAGAGGCCACAGGGAGCAAGATCCCAGAGGATGACAGGCATTCCAGCCCCAAATGAGCTCCCAGCTGAATGCAGTGTGCACGTGACTCCAGCCACACCACATGGAACAGATGAGAAATCAGAAATTGTTGTTGTAAGCCAGTTTGTTCAGGGATGGTTTTATACACAGCAATATAAAACTGAGCAGACCAGCTAATCCCAAAGACTCCTTTACTTTCCATGACTCTAAGAGAAATCATACAAGAAGAAAAATCAGAGGCTCAGAGAGGTCAAGGTAGTGCTGGGGTCACACAGCAAGTAAGTAACAATGCAGGCCCCACTCCCAGTTATCTGAGGGTATGGGAGTGGGGAGGGTAAACAGGTATACAGGGGAGGCCTGGAAGAGAGTGGTGGCCTCAGGCCAGGAGGTCTGGAGAGAGGAAGAGTCCCTTTACCCACCGAGAAGGAGCTGAGCTTCACACCCACTGCCCGGTGCTTCCTGCCCAGGCTGGCAAGGTACTCCTCCAGCGAGGATAGGTCCTCCACATTGGTCACCGCGGCGTCAATCACGAGCATCACCTGCCAAGACAAAGGAAGTGGTGAAAAGAGGCCATAGCAACCCCCAACCCCTGCTCACAACCAGAGTCCAGAACCTGGGGGTCTCAACCAGGAGGAAGACCTCAGTTTTCCAGGATCAGAGACAGAGGGCAGCCTGTGAATGCATACAGTAGGTGCTAAATGTGTGATGGCCAAACTACTAATGTTATACCATGAAAGAAGCCTCTCTCCTCTGAGGGGCTCAAAGCCATAAACACATCAGTTGGACAGTGTTGTTCTCCTGAGATGAGGGGACACTGAGGCCCTATGAGAGTCTGAGCCTCTAAGAAAACCCCAGCTTGGTTTTCACAGGCAGACGGCCTCTGATGGATCAGCGCCAATGCCACCTACAGGAGCCAGGGGACAAGACCAAGGGCAATGGCAGAGCTGGGAGCAGCTGGCTGAGCACAGAGCAGGGGAGAAGGCTGACTCTTGTGCCCCAGACTCTGCCCAGCTCAACGCAGAGGAAAAGTGGCAGATGCCCTGATACGAGGGAGCAGAAGGCAATGGGTAAGACCAGGCCTGGGGCAGGAAACGAAAGTGATTTCCCCATTCCAAGCTCTTCATTCTCTCCCAGGAAGGCTCCACCTGCCCCTCACCTTCCTGATGTGGTCCAGGAACTCAGGGGAAGAGAGGCAGTCCTCTGGGCTGGAGAACTGGCGGCAGTTGTACTGAAAGAGGGGCAGCAGGTCTGGCTCCAGGTCAAACAGCCTGTTGCGGGAGGCCCGGTGTCAGCCATGGGGTGCTGCCCCTGCAGCCCCAGTGAGCCCTGGTTGCCCAGCAGCAGGGAGGGTGTGCAGTGCTGAGGCTGTAAACTATAGCACACCCTCCAACCTGGCATGCACCCGTTTGCCAGTTTTGCTGGTACCCCTCTCTCCGCTCTCTCATATCTTCTGCAACCTGGAAAAAACAATGTATCCACAGGCCTCTCATAAAGCCTGGCACATAATAGCACCTCCATAAACTGTTGAGGGACGTGGACTCAGATAGGAAGGGGTCCTCGAACAGGAAGACTGGAGTTACAGTATGGCTTCTCTCTCTCTCTCTACCTCCCTCCCTCCCGCTCTGGGTCAGAACCTCCCAATCTCATCATGTCTGAGAGGGCATGGGCCAGTGATGATAACAGCATTTAGAACTTCTTACACTTACTGAGCATTGAGTAATTTACGCATGATTAACATGTATTTCTCACACTCCTAAGCAGTGGGTGTAACTGTTATCCCAGTTTTATAGAGGAGGAAACAGAAGCCCAGAGAGGTTAAGAACTTTGCCTAAGGTCACACAGCTTGTGAGTAACAGAGCCACAGAGGGTGCCTGAGAAAACAGTGGGTTTGGGGAAAGCTGGGAGGCACAAACAGAAGCTCTCAGCCACATCTGGGGGTCATGGGGTTTTGTGTAACTCTGCAAATTCATTCCCTTTTCTTTAGGGGGAAGGTTTTGTAAAAGCCTCCTCAGAAGTTCTGGGCTGGCTGAGGGAGTCAAGGCTTCTGAAAAACCCTGGTGAGGGATCATTGCCTCTTTGGTGATGGCAAAGGGGTTACCTAGACACCCTCAAGCTGAAGTTGAAGACTGGCCTCTCCTTCCCCTTTGGGGTCTGCACACTGCCTTACCCCTCTCTCCGGCGGTGAGATTGGGCATCTGTCATGCCTTCCCTGGTGGTTCTCTGGTCCTTTTCTGGCCCTTTCTTCTGAAAGATTTGTCCTTCTGCTGGTTGCTGGAAGTACACAGTCCTGGGGCCCAGACGCTGTGCCCTGCCTGCCAGGCGCCCACATAGGCCCTTGGATCACCCCAGTTTCCCCCGTACTGACAGAGGTGGGCACCCCTGCAGTCACCACGCAAGAAAAAAGCACCCAAGAGGCACAGAGCTGGGGATGGGGCACAGCGCAGAGACGTGTCTGCTGGCCCCAGTGTAAGGAGACCCGCCGGAGCGGACCCTGGCCTGATCCGACCCTGGCCGGAGCCCGGACAGCCCGGTTGGGAGCGGGTCGTGCGG